TCCCACAAAGTGCCCAGTCTTAGGGCTTCTGTTGGTGGGCTCACGTGGTACAGGATATGTAGCATGACATGTCTGACATACTGGAATGAAGGGGAGGCCAGAGCAGAGCACCTTTGCCAAAGCATCAATTCCTTTTGGAGGATCAGCATGGAATTCATCACCCAGGTAGCTCTGGAGCACAATGCTCAATCCTGAAATTGAGCCAGGAATGAGTGTGCTTTATTCCATTGGAGCTCCAATCCTCTTCTGCATAATAGTGGGCTTTCTTGCTAACTCAGCCATGATTCACACCAAGAAGATGAGTAATGACAGATGCTTAAAGAATAGTGACACACAGGAGATGGTGTAATTTCACCCTAAGTTTTAGAACTTTGAAAAAGTACACATTCCCATAGAGCTGGCAAGGTGATGGGGATGTCTTCTGTCCGTTTCTCTTATTGGTTGATGAATAAAGCACTGTGTCCAATGAGGCAGGATAATAGGTGGGACTAGGAGACAAGGAGGATTCTGGGAAAGTTAGGCAGCATCAATCACCATGTAGGCTGCCAGAGGAGAAACACCATGCTGGGCATAAGCGGGTAAGCCACAGTCTCATGGCAATATATAGATAGAAACGGGTTAGTAATTAAGACAGAGCTAGCCAATAAGAAGCCCAAGCCAATTACAACTAATATAGTATCTGTGTGTTTATTTGGGGGCTCTGAGGCAGCTGGAGAACTGAATGAAAACACAGCAAGGACTGAAGAGAACACTACATTTGTATAAGGAGGACCCACTGCCTCTGGTTAGTTGAGGTCTTCCTCGGTCTTTAACATTTCTTTGAGGTTATGAACAAGAAGACTTTCAAATTTGGAAATCAAACCATTTACCTGTTCCAGCCCAAACACTTAAGACTCACAACAACTCACTAATAACTTAGTAAGTCAATCAAATCGCATTGGGCACTTTACATATATTAACTGTGGCAGGCACATAGTAAGCATTCAACACATGGTACTTTATTAGTACTCATTTTCTTTAGGGGGGAAAACCCACTGGAGTGGTTAAGAGAGAAAGAAAACAAAAAGACCAGGGAACAAACATATTATAATTTTAATTACAGGTTGGAATACAGTGCATCAGATGAGGCAAATACAGTATTGTACTAGTTGTTTAAAAAATCTGAACCTTAAAGGTTTTACATTCTAGTATTTAAACAAAACAAACATGAAAGAATTGCTTAGGTAAGAAAACTACACTTGAAGTTGTTTTAGAAACAGTTCTGTGCTAGAAACATACAAAGGGAAATACTCTCTTGTGCTTTTTAAAAATCCAGTGGAAATTTCTAGGGGTGCTGCAGGCACACAGCTTGGATGGATTACCTAACCAGGAGCCAGATCCCCATTCCACCAGCCATCTTTACCAGGCCAGCCGACCTTACCAAGCAGCGGCCCCCATGGCTTCTCTGCTAATGTCAAAACATCATCCAGTCCACTCTATGTTTAATGTTCCTGTTGTTGCTGGGGAATTACATAGCATTTCTAGGGAAAATTGGTTAATGTTCCAAGTTTTAAAAAGTATACGAAGGAAAAATATTGGTTTTGTTTTGTTTTGTATTGACTTTGAGACGGGATTCCACAATATAGCCCAGCTGGTACAGAACTCAAAATACAGCCAAAGCTGGCCCTGAACTCACAGCAGTCCTACCTCAAACATGGCAGTTTATCCACCTACAAATAAGGTTTTGTATATGTGAGGAGAATAAATCAAAAGCTAACATCACTTGAACTATAGTTTAGAAACAAATCCCTCAGATGATAAAAATGGAGACGATCTTAGCTCAAGAAACTTTGAATAAATGCCTCTGGTTAAGATTGGATAGCTTTTTTGTAAGAATAAGAAGGTTCCAAGTTGAAAAGTCATCTATTTTCTATGCATTCAATTATAGAAATCTCATTAAGAATACATGTGAAAATCAAGGACAACATGCAGGGCTTCATGGCCTCCAGTGATTTGACACTGGCCAGAGGAGGGGATCTATGCTCAGGAGTTAACTCTGTCAGCTTCAAACATATCTCCAACTCTGAAGGACCTGATGACATGCAGAAATGGGCATGGCATTGGGTGCAGTGACGCTGGCACTGCACATAGAGGAGCCGATAGGAAATTCATTCCTAGAAGGACGGATGGAGTAGCAGAGCTCGTTTGCTAACCATGGAGAGAAGCCTGGGTATCCAGGGCTGGCTCCAAGAAAGGGAAAACCAAGGAAGAGCACACTATGCTTTCCTAAGCAAAGCTGCAGCACTATGGTTGCTTTAAAGCATGGACAGGCATCCATGTGAAGAAACTGAGAAGGGATTGGGATAAATGAAGACATGGTGTCTGGGTATATAAGAGGTGAAAGCAGACTTGCCCTACCATAGGTGCTGGACATCTTAATAGGTGGTAGAATGCAAGGTCCAATGGCCAGAGCAATTCCCAAGACTTGATCCTTTAGAGAGATGTTATAGACAGAGGCCAACACATACACAGAAATGCTGCTTGAGTCCTCAGTTTACCTGTAACAAGCATTCATAGTTTGCTACATCCTGAGGGAACCTGCTGCTACTTCTATTAATGAATGAATGGGTTGTGCCACCTCAAAAACCAAGTACCAGAGTTAGAGGACAATACTACATTGCCACTGAGATGACACATTTGAAATCTTAATTCAAATGTACCACACAAAAGTCAGCATGAACTCTGTTGGGCAAGAATTTCTCATACAGCACAGTTCAGCAGATGTCTCCTGAGATAACTATTCTAAACATTAAAAAAAAAGGCATAGGAAAATAAAGGCATGTTTCTCTTTAAAAAATACCTTGTATGTACACAGCAGTACATATTGTACCAATTGTACAGGAGGGCTTCTTGCATGAAGATAACTGTAGAACAGGTGGCAGTGGTTCATCTGCCACACTAATATTTCCTGTAAAACCAGTTTTCAAATTGTGCCAAAGGCTGAGAGACGCCACATGGCTGGCGATGTGTTCTATGTGTGAACAGGTTATTCCTAACAAAGGACTTAACTTGGAAAGACGTGACAAGACATTCTCTTAAGCTGAAATACCGCACTGCATTCAATGTAGTTTCTCCCAAGCTACCTGTACAAGACAGGGTAGTTCACAGGGTGGGTGTGGCCTGTTGCTCCCCTGTGAGAATGCCCTCAAGTGGGTCAGAGGCTATTCACACAAAAGAAGTATTTGTTAACAATAGGAGCTGTCACCTAGCCACACAAAAGGTCCCTGGACCTAATCCTAAAATGACAAGCTAGAACCACACATCAATGGCCTGGTCCTTGAGCTGCTGAACGACATTAGAGCAGCAGGATGGCCCAGGACACTGGTCTTGTCCATCAGACTGAGGTGTGGACAGGAGTGACGGAGTGGGTAGGTGAGGAGCCCCTCTCAGAAGAAGATGAGATGGTTCGTGTGGCCACCTCCCGCTGCAGGTCCTCCACACGCTTCTGCAGCTCAACCTTGACAGCCAGCAGCTCCTTGAGATTCTGGTGAATTGGCATCTGGCAGGGAACAGAGACAAGGGTGTTAGCACACTGTTGCTGGAGCATGGTTTGTTCCAAATACACCATTTCAGTACCTAGGCTTATAGCTGAATGGTTATTTCACCACCTAGATGCTTATGTTCCCAGCCTCCTAGACCAGTGATGAATCTTTCACCAAGTATAGCATGAATACTATATCTGTCTCTGGGTTTTTATTCTTCATGCTACAACCAAGTATACAGTGATTGTCTAATAAGGTCAGGGTTTCTATTACTGTGACAATATACCAAAACCAAAACCAACTTGTGTAGGAAAGGATTTATTTCAGCTTACAATTCTTGGGTCACAATCACTGGGGGAAGCCAGGGCAGGAACTCAAAGCAGGAACCTGGATGTAGGAGCTGAAGAAGGGGTCATGGAGGGATGCTGTTTACTGGTTTGCTCCTCATGGCTTGCCCAGACTGCTTTCTTATAGAAGGATCACCAGCCTGGGGGGGGGGGGCGCGGCACTGCCATCCCACATCAATCATCACTCAAGAAAAAACACAACAGGCCAATCCTATGGAGGCATTTTCTCAATTGAGTGTCCCTCTTCCCAGATAACTCAAGCCTGTGTCACACTGACATAAAACTAACCAACACAGTTATTCTGTCTCCACAAGTTGTGAGCTTTTGATGGCTACCGAGGCTGTCCTGCAGCTCCTGGGGACAGGCTAGGCATGATAAGGCACCGAGTCAGACAGACCATCCTCATACTCCGTTCTCTTTTACTCTCAGCAAGAAACAAAAAGGTCCAGGTGTAGTAGTCACAAGTCAACCAAGGCTCCCATGTGCAGACTCAGAGACAGCCTTTGGAGGAGTCAGAAATGCAGGTAGCTTCTTCCCAGCTGCCGGACTAAGCAGTATTCATGAGACCCCAGCTCCATTATCCTTGTACTCATGCATTTTAAAAAATACCTCCACCGACTGCAAACACTGGTTAAATCAGCACTTTCTTCATCAGTTGGAACAGGAGCAGGCAGAAAGCCCCTGGGAGGGCAATGCCAGGACACAGGTGTTCTAGGGAGACCAGTCCTTTTCTTCTCATTTAGTACTTTTTCATTGCTTTATCCTGATTAGCCTTTAAACCCTAATGATGGTGGGGGAGCACAACAAGCAGATGAGAAGGCCCTAGTATTTATGTTTATCATACCCAGCTTTCTAAGCTAATGGGCATCCTCAGTACCTACTAGGAGCCTAGAGACTGGAGACCAGCTTTTCCTTTATAGACGGAAATGGCCTTATAGATTGCTCAGACTGGGGGTGGTGTTGAGCAGAAAAGAGGTCGCGGGCTGGGGACAAAGGAAGCATGTGGTGGGTCTGAAGAGCACTGTTCCCTTTCCCATTCACGGTACACACAGCGGCTATCAGCCTTGGTCCTAAGCCTCAGGGAGACAATATGGCTCACCATATAACTTGCCTCAGTGGCTACTTCCTCAGGACAAATAGAAATATCCCTGGCTTGGCCTCTAAGCTCCAGTTTGCTTCTCCAGCCCACCTCACCAGGTCCTGCTACTTCACCCTCAAACACTTGAAACTGCCACCCTGAATGTGCCTGGCAATCATTTTCCTTAGTGAGATGAGAGAGACCTTGCAAGACTGATAGGAGGAAAAAGGGCAAAGGCAAACAGATGTCTTCAAACAGCAAGGTAAAAAAAAGAACAGGAAAGGAAAGAAGAACTCCATTTTGTCAGGAGGAGAAAGAAGAAATGCCATTCACATAGCATAGGCTGGCTCCATCATTGTGTGCTGGGAAAATGCTCCATTTCTCCCTTGGCTGTGGTATTTGCCGCACCCATGGGATCATTTAGCCCAGGTGGTAACCCTGTGTGTGATCTTGGGAGCAATACATGCTGGGTCTGAGACTCATGGCTGCTTAGTGAACTGCCATCACCTTACATCATCATGTAGCTTTTTGTATGTTTTCTTGCGTTTCAGTTTCATTTTAAGTGTGCAAAAGCATGCCTGAAGGAATAGAAAATCCCAAGGCTTATATTAGAGAAAATGTTCAGGAAAAGGTCAGTCATGTCTGTCCCTTGGGCACTAGTATGCACGAGATTCAAGCCAAGAGGGACCTAAGAGGATGCCCACTGCCATGTACCATACCCATCCTTTGGTGGATGTTGACATGGAAGCCCTCAATGGCCAAACTTTCTATTTCCTCATCTCAAAAATCTGATGTCCTGCACAATTTTCTTTTCTCTACTCCAGTTGGCTCAGTGTTCCACCATTTTATAAGCACACCATCTATCTTTATGTTTCCCAGCCCCAGCCCCCGCCCTCCCATCCATCTGAATGCTGCCAGTGGAGAAGCACTCTTTTCAGAACACATACCTGACCTTGTCATACAAATGCCACCTGCCCCTCTAGAATTTGCTGTCACCAAAGTTCTGCCTGTCTCCCAAAACACTGGGTGCTCAGCACACTTAAGAGGTGTTTGATGTGTGCTTGCTATATTTAGGGTGGAAATATATGTCTCACAGATAGCCTCCTCAGCTCTCCCTTTTGCACAGCACTATGCAGGGAAAACATAGAATGCTGCCCACCTCTGCCTGCCACCTGTCCACTATAAAGCCATGGTGCTAGGTACTACTTGCTACAGATCATCCTTACATGCCCCTGTGAAGGCTCAGTGAAGCTCAGGACCTTGTTATAGATCTGGCAGCAAATTACCAATAAAGATGGAATTTGACCCTGAATATGGGTGTTAAATGAAAACATGTTGTCAGGCAGCAAGATGCTAGGTGAGTTATGGTTATTTTCTGACATTTTCTTTCACTCTTTGTGTGGGATTGTCATGAGCATTAAGTGACATCATACGGTCAGTATGGAATATAAGAGGTACAAGATGGCAGCTATGCTATGGCTCCTCACTGCTCTCACCACATTGAAGCCTGATTTGCTTACCTGTATAGGAAACTGTCTGCACTCTGCATTTAGAGACAGATTCTCTTGTAGGCTACAAGTTTTATGAATGCCTTGGTCCCTGCTGCCCCTCCACCCTAGGAGTGTACAATGAAGATATGTTGCTAAGCACTAGCAGAACGACTCTATATAGCCATGAGGATGCTTTCTACATAGCTTCCCCACCCTTCAAGTCTGCAAACTACTGAGCACAGAAAGGGCAAAGGGCAACTCCCGTAGTCCCTGAGAAGACACTCAATTCACAGAATGCACTGACTGGGTATTCCCATAATGTTGAAGATATTCTATCAACTCTACATGACTGGTCATGAGTCATCAGAACAACTATTTAGTAACCTTTTCTAAGTAATATAAAGTGGTCATTTTCCAACACAGTACAGCCCACCTTTTCCGTTGCTCAGTCAAGTGTCTAAGCATGACAGAAATATACAACAGGGGAAAAGCTGCTAGAAGTAAATACAAACGTTGGTTCCTAAGGTACATGAGAAATCTGGGCAAGGGAAACATAAGTAAAGGAGGACTATTAGGGCTGTAGAAGGGGGAAAGGGTGGGTGAATGGGCAACGATAGCTGATTATAGTCAAAGAACATTATGTGTTATGTATAGAAATATTATAGTGGAAACTCCTATAGGTATAACTGTACAACATGTACTCATAAAATAATAACAAATTTTTGATTAATCCAATTCTACTTATTGAAAAAGAAGTGCTCATGGGACTGTAAAATAACACACTACAAGAATACTGATAAGGTCAGAAAGGCAAGTGATTCTGGATTCCGGTGAATCAGACAGGCCCTTTGTACACACAGTTCTGTTGGGCTCTGAGGAGTCACTGACACTGGAAGAGGAGAAGGGGCAGTAGAGGTATAGGCCATAAGGAGCAGAGCATAGGGCCTGGACCTAAGGCCTGGTGAGGAGCACAAGTGCTGGGCCCAGTTCTGATCACACAGTTCCAGAGAATATTTCAAAGGTCTCAAGAGTGGCAGGACTAACTCAGAATGTAGAGGAAGAAAGCTCTAGTTATGTGGAACAAATGGAACGTAACAAGAAAGCATCAGAAAACGAGATAAATGTGCTCAGCCTGGGCTGCAGGGGCAGACAACAGAAGATTCAGGGAGGAGACATGGACATCCCAACTCAAGCACACAGCTGAGCCTAAAAGTGAACACACTGTCTAGGTGAGGGAGGGTTAGTGATGGTGCCGCCTGGAGTTCCATCCTGGGCAAGGAAAGAGAAAAAGGAGTAGCTAGTGGGGTTTAGGGAAGACACCAGGTAAGAGGGATAAACGAGGAGGGGGACATGTTTCTGGTCCCTGATAAATGAAATTAGTGATGTTAAAGACCTAACATCATGCTCCTGTTGGCCATCCTTAAACCTCCAGGGTATTAAAAACTCAAAATAAGCATCTCTGCACAAAGCCGCCTCTGTCTGTCATCTCTCTAGACCTAGACTCCAACAGGCCTGTCTACCTATGTGAAGAAAAATTGGGGGTGTGGAGCAAAGCTGTGTCAAAACTCTGGTGTAGCTGATCAGGGGACACTCCAGGAGCCTCATCTGGCAGTACTTGGTGTGCAGCAAGAGCTCAGCCACTGAACACAACTATGCATTATACACTATACTTTCTTTTTTATTTCAAAGAAATGTTACTTTACTGTGAAATAATTTAACAGGGTAGGGAAACTTTACTCCTCCTTCAAGCTGTACCTACTCTACAACTGATCACATACTCTCTTCCTATTACGTTATAAGTGAACCTCTGTGCATTTTCCACAGGCCTTCACTGCCTCCATATGTACACTAGTGGAAGGAGGTACTGTGCTGCCCACAATACCTCCCAGCAATTTATAAGATTCAGAACCCAACACAGCAAGAGATAATACACTCTATTATTTCTTCAGTAGAAGGCAGACATGTAAGAGTTTGAACTCTAACTCAACAAGTGGTATCTATCAGGGTTGGTATGTGGGAGGAACCTTCTGGAACACAAAAGATGGAATCTTGACATTCAATATGGCAGCATCTACTAAACACATGTTGTTATATCACCAACTTCATTTGGAAAGGAAGTCATACTTTCATGTAAAGAAGAACAGAAAATTACCTGTGGTCTCATCCGTGGATTCCATCTTACATAATAATTAACCCACAATTCCAAGTGACTTATACTAGCAACAGGATATAACACATGGTTCTCATAATTCACAAAGAAGGGATTTGAAAATTCATCTATCTGGCTATTGATGTAAGACCATAAAGATATAGTCTTTGTATATATATCCTGAAAAAGAAAAAAGCAGTATATTGAAATAAGCTTTTCTCCACGGCCTCCAGTATTATCATATCATAAAGGGAAGAATTTGGATAATGAAATGAATTCAAACACTGAAAAATCTATGCACATTTCCTAAAGCCAACCCCTCTGCCTATGCACAGCCTCATATGGCATTTGTGCTGTCCCAGGAAAACATAGTGTTGAAGTTAGGCAACATCTGGTAACTGTATCTGTAAGAAAGTAAAGTAAGAACTTTCTAGCATCTACAAGATAAGCAGACTCATCAATAACAAATGCATATTTTATTCTGGATTGATACTAGTTTTTGTGACTCTTCAGAATTCTGGGTCAAATATGCATTTAGGATTCCCCTGCAATGGCATAGCTATCTGTAGAAAAACACCATGGTGGCAGGCTGGAAAAGCTTCATATATCCTACACATTATACCTAACTCTCAGTTTTACAGGATACACTTTAGAAATGCTATAGCAATTAGATTTGTTCATCTAAAACACAACAGACAAATGTCTGGTTACAGTGGGGTAAAGATAACTATTAAAAATGTATTAAAAGGTGAAAAGTCACCGGAATAAAAAATAAAACCAAGTAAATGTTCTAACATTCTGTAACTCATGAGAGTGCCTACTTTCTATGACATCTATTTTCACAGGACCTATAAACCTATAGCATTCCCATATAATTATGACTCCTTCATTATTTATACATAGCACTTATAAAAGAAACATTACTACCAAAGAAATTTTGAAAAATGAAGATGTGGGAAGACTCATGCTTATTTTAATGTTATAATAATTAATACCAGTGTTGCTAGTATAAAGACAGACATGTATGTTAATGGAATAGAATAGAGTACAGAAATTGATTCATGTAACATTTACAGTCAACTGATTTTTTGTTTTGTCTTATTTTTTGAGACATGATTTCTCTGTGTAACCCTGCTGTCCCAGAACTCTCTCTGGTAAACCAGGCTGGCCTTGAACTTATAGATCCACCTGCCTCTGTCTCCCAAGTGCTAGAATTAAAGGCATGCATTGCGTACACAGCTTCATTTTCAACAAGGATAACAATACAATTCCATGGGGGAAAACAAGTCTTTGCAAGAAACAGTACTGTGACAACTAGATAGCCAACATAAAAAAAATAAATAAAGTTGGACTTTGGTGAATGCTATACACAAATAACAACTCCTGATAAAAATAGACCTAAATGTAAGAGCTAAGACTGTAACATTTTCTGAAGAAAAACAGGATCAAATCTTGGTGGCCTTGGGTTGAGCGATGTTTTCTTAGCTACTCAAAAGAATAAACAACACAAAAAATAAATCAGATGTCATCAAAGTTAAACACTTTTGTGCTTCAATGTGTACTATCAAGACAGTGAACAATCCCATGGAATGAGAGAAAAAGGTTCATAAATAATATAAAAGTGACTTCTATATAAAAATGTATAAAGAATTGAACAGTCAAGATTTTTTTAAAGACAAAAAAATTAACTGAAAAATGGTCAATACCCTTTCATGATAAAGGTCTTGAAGAGATCAGAAATGTCAGGAAAATACCTAAACATAATAAAAGCAATATACAGTAAACCAACAGCCAACATCAAACTAAGTGGAGAGAAGCTTAAGGCAGTTCCTCTAAAATCAGGAACAAGACAAGGTTACCCTCTCTCTACACATCTCTTCAAAATTATATTTGAAGTTCTAGATAAAGCAGTAAGGCAACAAAAGGAGATCAAGGGGATTCAAATTGGAAAGAAGAAGTCAAACTGTCATTATTTGCAGATGATATGATAGTTTATATAAGCGACCCAAAAAAACTCTACCAGGGAACTCCTACAGCTGATAAACACATTCAGCAAATTAGCAGGATACAAGATTAACTAAAAAAAAAAAAATCAGTAGCCTTACTATATACAGACAACAAAGGGGCTGAGAAAGAAATCAGAGAAACATCACCCTTTACAATAGCCACAAACAACATAAAGTATCTTGGGGTGATGCTTAGCTAACAAGTGAAAGACCAATATAGCAAGAATTTTGTGTCTTTAAAGAAAGAAATTAAAGAAGATACCAGAAAATGGAAAGATCTCCCATGCTCTTGAATAGGTAGGATAAACATAGTAAAAATGGCAATCTTGCCAAAAGCAATCTACAGATTCAATGCAATCCCCATTAAAATCCCACCATAATTCTTCACCAACCTTGAAAGGATAATAATCAACTTTATATGGGGAAAAAAGCCCCAGGATAGTCAGAACAACTCTGTACAATAAAAGAACTTCAGCAGGCATCACCATCCCTGACTTCAAGCTCTACTACAAAGCTATAGTCCTGAAAACTGCCTGGCATTGGCACAAGAATAGACAGGTAGACCAATGGAATTGAATTGAAAATCCCAATATAAACCCACACACCTACAAACACCTGATTTTTGACAAAACAGCTAAAGGTATACAATGGGAGGAGGAAAGCATCTTTAACAAATGGTGCTGCCACAACTGTATGGTCGTGTGTAGAAGCCTGCAGATAGACCCATGTCTATCACCATGCACAAAACTCAAGTCCAAATGGATCAAAGACATCAACATAAATCCAACCAAACTGAACCTCTTAGAAGAGAAAGTGGAAGGTACCCTTGAACAAATTGGTACAGGAGACCACTTCCTGAACATAACACCCGTAGTACAGACACTGAGATCGACAATAAATGTGCCCTCCTCAAACAGAGAAGCTTCTATAAGGCAAAAGACAAAGTTGACAAGGCAAAATGGCAGCCCACAGACTGGGAAAGATCTTCGCCAACCCTATATCTGATAGAGGGCTGGTCTGCAAAATATACAAAGAACTCAAGAAACTAGTCACCAAAACACCAAATAACTCTATTAAAAAATGGGGTACAGAACTGAAGAGAGAAATCTCAATAGAGGAAATCAAAATGGCTGAAAGACAATTAAGAAATTGCTCAACATCCTTAGCCATCAGGGGAATGCAAATCAAAACAACTCTGAGATACCATCTTACTCCTGCCAGAATGGCTAAAATTAAAAACACCAAGGACAGTTTATGTTGGAGATGATGTGGAAAAAGGAGAATACTCCTCCATTGCTAGTGGGAGTGCAAACTTGTACAACAATTTTGGAGATCAGTATGGCGGTTCCTCAAGAAAATGGAAATCAGTCTACCACAGGACCCGGCAATCCCCCTCTTAGGCATATACCCAAATGATCCACATTCACGCAGCAAAGACATCTATTAAACTATGTTCATAGCAGCATTGTTTGTAATAGCAAAAATCTGGAAGCAACCTAGATGGCCCTCAACTGAAGAATGGATAAAGAAGATGTGGCACATTTACACAATGGAATACTACTCTGCTGGAAAAAAAAAATGGAATCTTGAAATTCACAGACAAATGGATGGAACTTGAAGAAACCATCCTGAATGAGGTAACCCAGTCACAAAAAAGAGGGACATGGCATGTACTCACTCATATATGGATTTTAGACATAGAGCAAAGGCTCACCAGCCTATAATTCACACCACCAGAGAAACTAGGATCCAAGGAGGATTCTAAGAGATTCATACAAGGTCCCTCACAGAAGGGGGGGAGGGACAAGATCTCCTGGGCATATTGGAAGTGGGAGAGGACAGTGAGTGGAGAGGGAGCTAGGAGAAAGAGAAGAGATGGAGAGGAATCACATGGGACTAGGAAGATTGAGTCAGGGGAGGAATAGACGAGAGAGAGAGAGAGAGAGAGAGAGAGAGAGAGAGAGAGAGAGGGGGGGGAAAGAGAGAGAGATACCATAAAAGAGGGAGTCATTCTAGGTTTGAAGAGAAAAAACTGACTCTAGAGAAATGTCCAGAGACCTACAAGTCTGACCCCAACTAACAATCTGAGCAACAGTGGAAAGACTACTATAAATGCCCTTCCCTGATAATGAGATTGATGACTTGAGCCCTCATCTAGAGGCTGATGGAAACAGAAGCAGACACCCACACTGAGCTGAACTGGTACCAAGATACAGAGAGTGAGGATAAGACCAGGCTACAGAAACCCACAGAGACAACTGACCTGAACAAAGAGAAGCTAATGGACCCCCAGACTGATATCTAGGAAACCAGCATTGGCCCGACTCAGACTCCGTGAAGATAAGCCTGGGCAGTCTAAGGGACCTCTGACAGTGGAACCAGGATGTATCCCTGGTGCACAAAAAGACTTTGGAAGCACATCCCCCATGGAGGGATACTCCCTTAACCTAGAGGCAGGAGGGAGGGCCTTGTCCCTACTCCAAATGACTTGACAGATTTTGTTTACTCCTCCTGGAAGGCATTGCCCTCCTTGTAGAGTGGAGGGGTGTGGGATGAGAGGGTGGTCAGGGGGCATGGGAGGGTTAGAGAAAGTGAGGGAGGGAGGTAGAGGGAACTTGGATTGATATGTAAAATAAGAAAAAAAGAAAAAAAATGAAAAATGGTCAAAGATCTGAAGAGATATTTCCCACAGAAAACATATAAATATCAAATGAGCACATGAGAGGATGCCTAATACCATTTATCATTAGGGAAATGTAAACATAAAACTGTATCACACTACCTACTGGCATGTTTTGTTTTGTTTTGTTGAGAAAGAAGATAGTGTTAACAAATGTGGGGAGACTAACGCATGCAGAATGGTCCTGCTAAGGATGTAAAATGGTGCAATTGCTTTGGAAAATATTCTGGGGTTTCTACAAAAAGGTAAACTGTAACTCCATGATCCATCTACTCTATTCTTAGGCACATACCCGAGAAAAAGGATAGCAAAGACAGAACTTGTACCTGACCATTTATAGCAACATTATTTAAAAGAGCCACAAAATGAAAAAAAAAAATGAAATATTGACCAATGAATGGACACACAAAATGTGTATCTGTAAGCAAATATACTTACCTCTTTGATGCGTTGTTGTTCACAATTGCACAAAAAGGTTCCAAAAAGACAGCTATAGAGGTGATCCAAAATTGTAATCAAGAATAATTCATTAAACTCAAATGCTGAGGGGAACTTAAATGAAGAGGAGAAAAATACAATTTAGTCTTGAAATAGAATTTCTAAAACAAAGTCATATCACTTATTTTTGAGAGAAAGAGGTAAACAACAATATATGGAGTATGGTAAGATTAAAAAGTAAACAGTACACACAAAATTCAACTAATTGACAATTTCAAGTCCAAGCTGATATATCTGGTTAAGAAACAACTATAACCAACAAAATTTTCTGTGCTCTTCAATACCTCCACAAAAACCAAGTAGCTTCCAGTTTTTCACATGGTAGAACAAAGCCCAGAGTTATCCTTCTGCTAGAAAGAACTAGAAAGCTGGATAAAATACACAAATGTCTTTAGATACTGGCAGTATGCAACATGGAATTGTGGCCCTTGAGTGAAGACAAGTCAGTGAAGAAAGCACTCTTATTAGACCTGAACTCTGCCTAGAGGTACACTGCAGGCCCTAGAGTGGGCAAGAGCTCTCCAGCTTCAACATTTATAAAAGTGGATCAAGAGGAGCAGAATATGTAACTAGCTCTATATGTATTAGATAGAGACTAGTCATACTTAAGAACTCTCCCCCAAATATAACCCTCTGAACTCATACTTCTAAAGCACCACCAATATGTAAACAAACTGAATTTACATGACCAAGTCTGGTTTATCCCAGGAATGCAAGGCTGGTTTAACAGTGAAAATCACTGTTATAAAATAAAATCACTACAATTAGTAATTTTAACAGATTAAAGAAGATAAACCACATGGCCACCTCAATTGTTTTAGGCAGTACATAATGTGGTTTTTCAGAATTTCAGCGAAGATTATCAGCACTGCCAACAGGTTCCAGCCAGTACCAATCATTTAGCAACCATGAGGCATCTGGAAATAATAACTGTCTCAGCAGCAGACCTGTACTGAGTGCCTACTATGTGCAAGAGTTCTAATTTCAATCACTGAAATATATTCTGTTGAATGAAGCAAAGGAAGCTGGAACCAAAGAAAACAAACAGATGTGCCTATCAAATTACATCAAGTAAGTTTACACTGAAGACTTATTCTTGAGCAGGGAGCAGGTATTGCAGTTATGAAACACTTGTCTAGAATGTGCAATGCTCCAGACTCAATCCCTATCACTGCAAAAGCAAACAAATTCTATTATCCAGTCAGAGTGATGCTTGCATACTATCATATCTAATCTTGACATCTCTTGTATGACAACCAGGATCACTGGCGCACAGATTTCCTAACTGTTGTTAGGCTAGTATGTAGGGTAGTAGCCTGAGCCAACTGAGACACTGAATATTTATACCTAGTCTAGAAGTCTATATTCTGGATCTGGAAGTTTGGATGGGTGTATTCTAGTGCCAATAACTACAAGTTTTAGTGAGGCCAACTGGGTGCCAGGAGTAGGAAGACAAAAGCAGGCAAGGCTCAGTGCAAGCACGACAGCATTCATGAAAACCAGAAGCCCAGATTCCAGCTAAACCTACTGGGTGGCTGGGTCAAGATGGAAATTGCTCAAAGAGCACTGTTATAGTAAATAAGCCAGGATACAGTTCAGTAGGAATAGTGGTAGTGGCAGGGAATTGCAAACAGAAGATTAAGTTTCTATGAGCTGTAGTTCATTTTCTTGTTATTATCCAGAGACTATATAATTCCCCTAAAATGTAGTCTCAACAAATCCATCATAATATACAATAAAACTCTATGCTTTTGAGAATCAAGGGTTATCCCAAAGTTTAAATGTTCCTTTAAACTACATATGCTATAGAAAGTTTCTGAGATGCTAAAGAATCCCTCAAGCATTTTCTCTAGTTCCTTTTGCAATAGTTTGTGTACATGCAAAACAGCTCATTGTACTCTGAGATTTTTTTCTGACTTTATACTGATGGAAGTCAATTTGCAGTAGGCAAATGAAAAATAAACAAACATGTTACATGGATACATATTTTACTAATTTATTACATATAAAATGATTTATTGATTTATAGTTAAAGACTTGCCACTTATCTCTTCTCATGTATTTATGTTATTTTAAGGAAAATTATACACACATTTAATGAACAGAATCATAGAGTTGTGAGAGGCCCCTGAACTATTTTATTCAAACCCCCTATATTTTTTTTTCTTTCTGAAAAAACCAATAAGCAGCACAAAATAACAGTTTAGAGGTAAAGATAAGCACTAATCAGTATGCAGAATGCAGGTCAATTTGAAGGACACACACATATTTGTATGCCAATGTGCAGTTCAGAAGCATTTGGGGAAAATGAGCTAGTTGATATCTATGAGATGGTTATTACAATTTCTGTGCATTTAACTAAAATGTGTTTCATGCTTTCTTTTCTTGAATTTATATTCAACCACTGATTTTTGTCATTAGTAGGGTACCATAAACAGAGGGACTTCCAGCCAACCTCTAGGCCTTCTCAGCCTGTCTTTTCTGATACCTTTCACTTGGGCATGCTCCCTTCAGACCTACTTTTAGTCCTCTATGACATGGAACTCAGTTAACGCAAGACCCCTGTTAGCTTGCTGATGTAAGAGCCTGTTCCAAGAGATGGTCTGTAAGATCTATTCCAAATCTGCTCCCCCTGTTTCTCATTTTTGAAAGGTAGGTCTGAATCCTAGACCCTTGCCACAGTCTTTGAACTCATAGCATCAAAAAGACAGCTCTGTAAATGTTGGCATACAGTCACTGACTCACATTCTGGTATTTTAATAAGAACTCATGTGCTAGTTTAAGTTCAGCTAGGCTGGTGTAGCACTGTGCCCTCAAACATCGTAAGAGCCTGGAGGGCTTGGGAGCCCCAGAGTGTTAGCTCTAGCTTTTGAGCATCAGCAGGTCTGTAGTGGTCCTAGAGCTGGAATGGCCACCAAGTTTCCAGGGACGGCTGCTGAGAAGTAGTCTACCCTGGGATGGGGAGGGCAGCATGGGCGTACTTGTTCCTAACATTTTCTTATCTCAATACAGTTCCAACAGTAATAGTAGCCCACAGTGAGCAAACAAGGATGGTAATTCATAGCTTTCCATAGTGAGGAGATAAATGTCCTCTGAGAAGTTTAAAAAAGCTTTCAGGGGCATCAAACATGAACATCAAGGCATTTGGAGGAGCCCTGAAGATGGCCAGGAGTTTTCCACAGATGCATACGAAAGACAGCACCCAGGCCCTGGTTCTCAGTCTCCAACTTACTTCCACTCATACACTGAGGAAAACTGTGCTGCCTCTTCTCTCCATCTTTCTGGGACCAAGTTCATGTCTCTGGTACAATCTCCAATCTCAAGGCTAAGACTCCAAACTCAGACTTGTATGTTAGAGACTAGATAATATCTCCATGTGCCTTATTTAAAGTAAAGCTGCAGGGCCTGAATAACTTAGGGAAGGAGAAACCCTGTATGTTCCTTTGCTTACCAGATCCCTGTTCAATGGAATTAGGAAACTAAAATCAGTCAGGACAGAAAGTTCCTGAGCTTCCTGTTGGCTCTTAGACACATTTCTCTCAGTGACTCTGGTGTATGAAGGGCTATGGCCTATAGCAGAATGTGAAGATTCTCAGATGCCCTGGACTGACTCATTAACTAGCAACTCTAAGGTGGGATGAAATCTTGGAGTAAGTGCACAGCAGAGAACTCACAAAAAGGAAAAAGTAGAACCAGAATTAACTGTGGAGTTGGGCCTTGATTTGCACAGTTAATGGATAAGAGGAACAACTAAAACCACTAGCAAAAGAAAACTCTACTTTTCTGCTCACATCTTTAAGCGGATGAGAATCAAATTGTATTGAGTAATAGAAGGGGCCATTTTTTAACACACACAAACACTCATTTTGAATGAAAGAGTAATGGAAATTTAATTTTCAACTATAAGAAATATTTGAATCAGCCTATGATAATAGGTTATAAATATAATTGAAATCTCTTACCTGTCTTGTCATCTGCCAAACACAATCAATAAACTGAAGAAATATAGGTGATCGGTCAGCATCTGCATGGTTGTCATCACCATGGCCCACTCTCTGGAAAAAAGCAAGAGATTTTGTGTGTGTGTGTGTGTGTGTGTGTGTGTGTGTGTGTGTGTGTGTGTGTGTGTGTGTGTTATGATCTTCTCAAACCTCTCAAAAGTCAATTTTCCCAGTCTTGTCTCATCATGCCTATGACAATTCCTGCTCATCATGGGCACTCAAAATTGTTTGTAAGAAGGCTAAATTAGAACACTGGAGCATAATGACACATAGTATGAAAACTGACACAACAAAATGTACTACTTTGTATGACTTAAAATAATTGACTACATAATTAAACATAGGAGTTAATTAAACTGAATGGATTTTCATTTCTTTTAGGAAATAACATTTCACTTTATTCCATGTTTCTATGGTGATGGTCTATAACTTTACTTTAGCATAGCTGATACCAAGAAAGATGGAAATTGGCTATCAAAACTTGCAGTTCAAATGATGGGATCAAGGGACATTACTAGATGAATGTAGAAGGCCTAACCAGGAGTTCAGAAATAGGACATAGTTCAGAAATGTCATGAAGAGGGCTAAGAAGATGGCTCAGTGTGCAAAGTACTTGCTGCCCAAACAGAGGACCTTAAGTTAGGCCCCAAGCACTCATGTAAAAGATGGGAATGGTGGCACATGCCTGAAACCTCAATAGTGGCTGGCAGAGACAGGAAGACCCTGGAGTCTTGATGGGCAATCTAGGCTAAGTGATGAGGTCCAGGTTCAGTGAGGAATCTGTCTGAAAGGTGGAAAGTGATAGATAAATCCTGATGTTAACCTCTGGCCTCTACATAGGCAAACACATGAACACAACATATGCATAATACAAATAGTAAGAGATGTCAGTAAGTCTGACAATGAAAACATTGGTTAAGATCCTATAAATGCTGTGTCCATTTTTACATGACTTAGAGAACCCAAGATCTCCCTCTTAAAATGGTGATTGGGCAGAGACCTTCCTCAAACAAGTCCAGGATCACACTTCATACCTTTCATAGTTTATATCCATGCATTCATATTAAAAAATAACATTCCTGATCACATAAAGAGTTTGCAAAAAGCAATGAAAGTTTAATGAATAAAAGATATCCACAACACTATTTTTGGGCATATACCCTAAGGAGGCACACTCATACCACAAGGACATTTGCTTAACTATGTTCATAGCAGCATTATTCATAATAGCCAGAACCTGGAAACAACATAGATGCCCCTCAGCCAAATAATGGATAAAGAAAATGTAGTACATTTACACAACGGAGAACTACTCTGCGGTAAGGAACAATGACAGCTATAAATTTACAAGCAAATGGTCAGAACTAGAAAAAACATTCTGAGTGAGGTAACCAGATCCAGAAAGACAAATATAGCATGCACTCACTCATAAGTGAATACCAGATATAAAGCAAAGTATAACCAGCCTATAAACCACAACCACAGAGAAGCTAGTTCTCCTTTCCAGAAACAGATGGAAGGAGATGCGGAAATCTATAACTAACCATTGGGCTGACCTCCCAGAATACAATCCAAGTGAGGGAGAAGTGATAATATGAACAAAGGAGTCAAGACCATGATGGGGAAACCCACAGAATTGGCTGATCAGAGCTAGTAAGAGATCACTGACTCTGCACTCTCAATTGAGGAACCAGCATAGGACTAACTACGACCCCTGAATACATGTGACAATGGTGTGGCTTGGGCAGTTATATGAAGTCACTGGCAGTGGGACCAAGATCAAACTCTAATGCATAAACTGATTTTGAGAAGCCCATTTTCAATGGAAAGATACCTTACTCAGCCTAGACATGGGGGCAGGGTGCCTTGGTCTTGCCTCAATGAGATGATGGGACAGACTTAGTTGACATCCTAGGAGAGGCCTTACCCTCTCTGATGAGCAGATGAAAGGTGAGATGGGAGAAGGAGGGGAGAGCAGGAGGAAAGGAGGGAAGAGGAACTGGGGTTGGAATGGAAAAAATAAATAAATAAAAAGACATCCACGGAGTGAGCATTCTAAAAAATATTCAAATGAGCAAAAGGATAAGAAAGGATTGACTATGAAGAAGATGATTCAACCCTCACATAGAATGCTTGAAAACAAATAAAACTGCCACCTGGAAAGACATAAAAACAAGGAAATGACTAAGTAATGTCAGCATCTAACAACCAGGGTGATGGGTCCCAAGAGGAGTTGGAGGGAGGGAGGGAGGAATGGACAAAATCAAAGTGCATTGTGTACATGTATAAAACTTTGAAAGAATAAATTACAAAATTAATTTTTAAAAACTCTCAGAGAGATGCCATGCATAGTGGCACGCACCTTTAATCACAGCACCTGGGAGGGAGAAGCAAGTTGGTCTCTGTAAGTTTGATCCCAGCATGATCTACAAAGTGAGTTCCAGGCCAGACAGGGCTGCATAGTGATACTCTGTCTCAAAGGACTACATACCACTACCACCACGACTATAACAACAACAACAAAAACCTCTTAGAGCACCCAGGAAGAAGAGGCAAGTTGATCTCTGTGAGTTTGAGGCTAACCTGGTCTACATAGTTGAAGCATTTATCTAATTATTCATTATCAAAACTTGGGAGTCAGATACATGGGTAAGAACCTAAATGATCACAGAAGCAGTAGAGACTATCCACCTCCTCTCTCCCTTCCTCTCCCTCCCTCCCTCCTGCCATCCCTACCTGCCTCTCTTTCTCATTCCTTGGTTCAAATGTATTAAGACCATCTCTAAGCCCTGCCCTACTACTTACTCTAAAATCTCTATGGTTAACTTTGGTCAGCTAGTAGCTTCTGCCCTTTTATTCAAAGTAAAATTTTATTGGCAGTCTTGGAAGCATCAGAATGCAATCAAAATATCAACAACACATAGTGAGTTTCAAACCCAAACAGAGCTGCATAGTAAGACCCTGTCTCAAAGGACCCCACATAGAAAAAGACCTCTTAGAATATATTACCTTATTTTCATTAGGTGGGGTAGGTGCTTCCTATTGTTGTTGTGGTGATTGTTTTGGAAGACTTTTTTTATTTTACTTTAAAGGTTTACCTATTATTATTTATGTGCATTATGTGTGTGAGACCAGAGGCCATTGCATTCTCTGGTCTGAGAGTTCCAGGTGGTCATAAGCTGCCATATGCATGCTGGGCACTGAACTCAATTCTTCTATAAGAGTTGCAAGTACTCTAAACCGCTGAGCAACATTTCCAGCCCTTCTTCCTTTATATTATAAATTATGATAAAAATATGCAACATAAAGGTTACCAATGGTTAAAAACATCCTTAAATGTACACTTCAATACATCAACATCTTGTTTTATAATCACTAACATTGTTCATCCCAGAACTTTCTAGTTCTCAAATTAAATCTCTGTCTGTATGAAATAGTAAGTGGCCGCCCTATATCCCATAATTCATGGCAACAAGAATACTACCTTATAGTAGTCTACTTGATGTAATAGAAAACATACAGTATCTATCATTTTCTGTCTGGCTTATTCCATTCAACATAATGTCTTGAAGGTTTATCTACCTTGTAGCATATGCCATAATTCCCCCACCCCCTGTTTTAACACAGGGACCTTTACTCTCTGAACCAACTCTCCGGCCCTCATTCTTTTCTTTTTAACATCTATTAACCTCCTGTGGTGTAAGTCATCCTGCCTGCCTCTCAAAATTCTAGGCAATTTTATAGGATGTGGAAGAGGCACAAACCTTGATAAGGCACCAAGGATACTAAGACAATAGAGGCACAGTGCCTCGGTATAAGGATTCATTAATTTGTGATATAGTCAAGGGGTAAAGACCTGTAAATAACAAGGAAATGCATTATTGCCAGGGCTTTTTCATGTGCATAGGGTATAGTGAGGACAGAAAGAAAGGAAGAAACACTCTTAGGATGAAGCTGAGGAGACTATAAGGGAGTAAAGCTGCATAGGATACAGTCATGATGGAGGTCTCATTTAGATAAACTTTGAATGGCAGGGAGACACCTGCTCCCTAATATATCCATGAATCAGTGAGAAGGAACAAGGAACACTTGGAGAACTATAAGTGAGTGATCAGGGCTCACATTCAGGGAATGAGTGAAGAGGAAGAAGTTGAGATGTGAGACTAGAGAGTTGAGCTAGGGATCCATTGAGTGTTACCACTGGGTTTATACTGGGCAATGACAACATTAGACATGTTTCTGGGAATACTGCACTTGATTATGGGGGGATGGCAGGAAGCAAGGTGACAGGCTTCATAAAAGCTACTTGGGAGACTTCCTGAAAGATATGAATATACCAAATTTAAGGGAGAAGTAGTGGCAATATAAAGGGGACTAATAGATCTGAAGATGAGTTCAATGTCTTGGCACTGGCTGAGATCATTAAGAGATTAAACATACAGAAAAGAGGAATAATCCTAGGGCTGAACCCTAGAGGTTGGAGAGATGTAGAGAACAAACTAGAAAAAAAAATGCAAATGATTGTAGAGCCACAGCCTGGTGCATAAAAAAGCACTTCTAAAAGAAGGGCAGCACAACACAAATGCTCAGGAAAGTAAGGGAAGGGTTTGGCAAAATTACTTTGATAAGACCAGGTGTGATGAGTGTGAGAAGGAAACCCAGCTGAATTGGGGTCAAGGGAGACAAGAAGGAGAAAGGAAGTGGTAAATATATATGCATAAAAAGTTCTGATGAGTGTTCTAATAAAGGAAGACAGATAATTGCAATGATACCTGGAGGTATCATGAAGTCAAAAAGGTTATACTTCAGGGTATAACAGTGTATTTATATAGCAATGGGAACAGAGGCAGGATAGAAAGAAGTCAGTTAGAAAGTTCTATGATAATGTGCAAGAAATAGATGATAGGAACAGGCAAGAGCAGGTACTGTTATGAGGAACTCAGAAGCTCATTCATGGAAACTACATGTAAAGTAGAGAACACAGACTCAGCAAGTACTTGTTGTAGGCCTGAAGCCTTACTAACATAGTCACATACTGGCTCAGGTGTGTGGCCTTAGGTAGATAATTCACACCATTGAAACCTGGTTCACCATTTGTCAACTACCGGACTGCTTATCAAGACTGAGATAATCATATTGGAATCTTATGGTCACATCTCTTTCTTTATAGCTGTGGTGTGCTGAATTTTCAGCATTAGCAAGGATAGATGAGAATCTATAGCACTAGAGGTCCATTCTGACACCTGAGCTTCTTCTTATCCCTGGTACTGCCATGGCTGGTATGTCAACAGACAGCTCTTAGCACCTCCTCTCTGTTAAAGCACCCAGAAAACTTTCTTTCCCTCAGGACATTCATTCTAGAAGGAAATATAAAAGAAAGTATCCTCTGAGACTTCAAATAAAATCAGCTGCAAACATCTGGAAACTTTATACTCTCTTCCCCATGGAGCTTAAATTTTGCTGAAGGGGAACAAGCATTTAAGCTGGTGTTTTAAAATAGTTACAAGATCTCTGGACAGGGGCCAGGTTCTGCACTAGGCACTTAATAAATGCAAATTCTCCCCCCTGTAACACCCAATTGCAGGAAGGAAACCAAAGCAGAAGAAATGTCTAAATATCTCACAAGAGCTTCACAGGACATGAAACTCAGAGGCTGTGAGGCTGGGAGGGCTTCTGCCTAGACCTCCTCCTTGAAGTGTATTCACAACAGGTAAACTTGGATCTCCACACCCATGCTATTCAATTCTTTGCACTATCCATCCTGAAATCCACATCGAGCCTCACGTGGACTTGGACTTGGACGTTTGGAGTATTTTAATTCAATGGATGATCCACAACAGCTCAAGAGACTTTGCAGAGTAGAATTCATTGCCAGTTTCAGTCACACATAAATGGCTGCCCCCAAATGCCCACCAAATAACAATTCACTCAGGCATATACTCCACAAATTGAAAGCAAGTTTCCAGGCTGAATTACATGCCCAAAACACTTTATAATGTGACTGTATTTAGAAACAGAACCTTTAAACGGGTCACTAAAGTTAAGTTCTGACCTAAAATGACTGCTATCTTTAAAGACACCAGGGAAATATTCAGAGGAAAGGTCATGTGGGAAAAGGCAAGAGCATGGCATGGTCATCTCCAAACCAAGAAGAGAGACTTCAAAAAGAGAGACCAACCCTACTGGAACTTGATTTTGAACTTCTAGCCTTCATAAGAGTGAGAAAATATATGTTTGTGGTTTATGTTACCCACTCTGTAGTACTTTGTTATGGAAAAACCCATATATCCACACAGAATTAACCAATTGTAGGTGCCTCATAAGACTCTATAGAGGCCGATTAGTGATCTGGGTGCTGAAGGAAAGGGAAATAATGTGTTGTTTAATGTATATAGGGCTTCCATTTGGAGTGACAAATAGGTTTCAGGACTAGAAAGAAGTAGCTGTTACAAAGTGAATGAAATGTAAGACACTTTTGCACACTTTAAAGTGGTTAATTCTGTGTAATGTGGATTTGATTTCATTTGAAAAGAAAGGCATAACTATACAAAATAATCCCTATCAGGAACATACAATGTGAAGGTCCTTAGTATTTTATTATGGAAATTTAGGTGTAAATATATGTTACCAAATACCAGGTTCATGTATGTGAGATAGCAAAACAGTTACACATAAACCAAATCAACATACCAGTGCAAACCTGTGTCCAAAGCTTATCCACTCCTTTTCTATGAGAGCCTCAAATCCTTTAATGGTCCGGTAATAACTGTCCAACATCAGCATTGCCAGAGATGTGAGCTGGGATGTTCGGTCCCACCCATCACTGCAGTGGATCACCACAGAAGTTTTCCCAGATTCTATTTTATCAGCAATTCTTACTGCCCCAGCAAGCAGCACCTTCAGAAAAGAAGGTAAAATAGACAAGGCTACATTAAGTATTAACATCTATATAAGATAATTCTGTGAACTTATGCTGGAGAGGATGTGGAGAAAGGGGAACACTCCTCCACTGCTGGTGGGAGTGCAAACTGATTTTGGAGATCAGTATGGCGGTTCCTCAGGAAAATGGGAATCAGTCTACCACAGGACCCGGCAGTCCCCCTCTTAGGCATATACCCATGCAACAAAGACATGTGCTCAACTGTGTTCAAAGCATTATTTGTAATAGCAAGAACCTGGAAGCAACTCAGATGCCCCTCAACTGAAGAATGGATAAAGAAGATGTGACACATTTACACGATGGAGTACTACTACTCTGCAGGGGAGTGGGGGGATGGGACAATGCAATCTTGAAAAGTGAAGAAACCATCCTGAATGAGGTAACCCAGTCACAAAAAGAGGAACACGGTATGTACTCGCTCATATATGCATTTTAGACATAGAGCAAAGGATCACCAGCCTCCAATCCACACTGCCAGAGAAACTAGGATACAAGGAGGAATCTAAGAGATTCATACAAGGTCTCTCACAGAGGGGGAAAGGAACAAGATCTCCTGAGCATATTGGGAGTGGGGGGGTAGTGAGTGGAGAGGAAACTAGGAGAAAGAGAAGGGGAGAAGAGGAAAGCTCGTGGGACTAAGGAGATTGAGTCATGCGAGGAATAGACAAGAGAAGAGAGAGAGAGGGAGAGGGAGAGAGAGAGAGAGAAAAAATAAAAGACGGAGTCATTATAGGTTTAAAGAGAAAACTGACTCTAGAGAAATGTCCAGAGACCTACAAGAATGACCCCAACTAACAATCTGAGCAACAGTGGAGAGGCTACCTTAAATGTCCTTCCCTGATAATGAGATCAACGACTAACTTACCCACCATCATGGAGCCCTCATCTAGTAGCTGATGGAAACAGAAGCAGACACCCACAGCTAAACACTGAGCTGAACTCCTGGAATCCAGTTGTAGAGAGGGAGGAGTGATAAGAAAAGGGGTCAAGACCAGGCTACAGAAACCCACAGAGACAGCTGACCTAAACAAGGAGGAGCTAATAGGCCCCCAGACTGATAGCTAGGAAATCAGCATTGGACCAACTCAGACCCCTTGAACGTGGGTCTCACAAGGCCTGGGCAGTCTAAGGGACCTCAGACAGTGGAACCAGAATGTATCCCTTGTGCATGAAAGGACTTTGGGAGCACATTCTCCATGGAGGGATACTCCCTTAGCCTAGAGACACGAGGGAGGACCTAGTCCCTACTCCAAATGACTTGACAGACTTTGATGACCCCCCCTCCAGGAAGGCATCACCCTACATGTGGAGTGGGGTGGCATTGGAGGGGGTCTCATATACATATATATATATATATATATATATATATATATATATATATGAACAAATCTTAAAAAAACAAACAATCACACAAAAAAAGAACAAGTAAGGTAAGTAAGGTGGTGGAGTCAGGAAGGTCAGAAGATGAAAAGAACCTCACTAAAAAGCATATCTGGAGGCTATACTGTGTTATCTGAGACTCTGTCAAAGTTAATTATTTATTAATTGATAACTAAAACATTGTGATTTTTCATCAGAAAAGACCTCCACAAAGACCACAGTCCAATTGTTTGCAAGAGGAATGTTCAAAAGCTCTCATACACAGATAGCCAAGATGCATTAATCTGTGGTGTTGAAAAACTACTCAGCCAGGCATTGGTGGCACATGCCTTTAATCTCAGGCTAGCCTGGTCTACAAAGGTAGTTCCAGGACAGTCTCCAAAGCAATACAGTGAAACTCTGTCTTGAAAAAACTAAAACAAACAAACAAAAAGAAAAAATAAGGAAAGAAAATCTACTCAGAAATATTTATGACAGTTGATAAATATCTGATTCGGAAAGTAAATGACAGATTAAACTTCTTTACCCTTATATATTCCAGCCAATGTGTCCCATCCACATTGGATAGCCACCGTGACTCATCAATGGAAGGGTACACAATCTCCTTTAATTTACGAAGTGATTCCCTCATCACATGAATATTGTGGATCTCCAAAAACATGAGCTCTGCATTGGGGTAAGCACTTTCACTTTCATATCCTCCACCTTTTGCCTATAAAAAAGAAAAATATATGTATCACTTTCTCTGAAATTAACTTTTCTACTGTTTTTACTATAAGCAATTATAAACCACTAAGCAGTAATAAAATCCTACACCCTTGTATGGTTGCCCTAGAATTGCCAGAACACAACAGGGTACCATGAACCGGCAGCACAAATCCATACAAAGGTATCTTCTCATGGCAGTGCACCACCACCACATCTAAGTTCTTAAGACCAGGAGGCTGAAATGCAGGTGTCACAGGGTCAGACTCCCTTAGAAGCTTCTAGAAGAATGTGCTACTTACTTTTCTCGCTGTTGTGACAAAGTATCTGGCAAAAGTACTTAAGACAGTAAAGTCTGAGAGGAAACAGTCCTTTACGGCAGAAAGAGTGGTGACAGATGTGAGAAATAGCGGTTTACATTGATGAATGCTGCTGCTTAGATTACTTTCTCCTTTTTATTCAGTCCAGGACCCCAGCCTAAGGGATGGGACTGTCCACATTCAGGGCGAGTCTTCCATCTTCAGTTCAATCTCTCTGGAAATACTCTCAAAGTCATAACCAGGAGTGTGTCTATATGATTCTAAATCCCATCAGTTGATGATCAAGACAAACAACCACAGAGAATACTTACCATTCTTTGACTTTCCTGGTTCCTAGTAGCCCTAGTCATTCTAGGTTTATACACTCATTGCCTTAATCTCTATTTCCATGTTTGTACTTGACCTTCTCTCCTTGTCTCTGCCTCTGCTATACTTATAAAAATACCTTAGTAGAGAAGGCACTTGCCATCAAGCTTAAAAACCTGAGTTGTATTGATTGATACCAAGGACCCATATGGTAAAAAGAGAACCAAATCCTGCAAAGTTGTCCTTTGGCCTGTACATATGAGCACGCACACATGCACACATGCATACAAACAAATGTAATAAAAAAGCATGTCTGTCGTGCTGAATTAAGGCCCACCCTAATCTAATATGACTTTGGTTTAACTTGATTATACTTGTAAGGAATCTTTCCAAATACACTCATATTCATAAGTACTAGGAGTAAGGACTTTAATCCATCGTTTTATTGAGGACACAAATTAAGCCTTAATAGTCCTGCTTAGTTTTTAAGTCAGCAACAACTGGCTCTTATTCAAGGCTCCTTCTGCCAGTGTCATTTATCTACCAATAAATGTCATACTACCACAAATTTCTGCATAATACAACAGTTTGGAGTTCTGAAACCACAAAGTTTTTCTTAGCAATTTAATACGAGAAAATAAATGTAAAAAGGAAGATAAAGATTATATATATATATATACACACAAAAAAAAACAATAGAAAAAACAACTAGTCTGTAGCTAGCTTACATTTTATAGAAGTCAGTACTCAAAACATATTTAGATGAGAGTACAGAGAAACTAATGGGAATGTAAAAAGCTACAGCTTCTGTGGAAGACAATTGAATGGTTCCTTGAAAGTTCTACAAAAAATTCCCATTCCCCTTGGAGGGAAACTCCCTTAACCTAGAGGTGGGAAGGAGGGCCTAGTCCCTACTCCAAATGACTTGACAGATTTCATTGATCCCTCCTGGAAGGCATCACCCTCCCTGTGGAGTGTGGGGGTGGAATGGGATGGGAGGGTGGTTGGGGGGGCATGGGAAGGAGAAAGGGAGGGAAGGACGAAGGAAAAGAGGGAGAGAGGGTGAGGGAACTGGAATTGATATGTAAAATAAGAAAAAATGTTTTAGATATGAATATATCATAAAGGAAAAATAAAGATGCATTGATTAAAAAAAAAAGAATTCCCATATCGTCTAGCCACTATGTTTGTGTTCAAGTTTTATTTAAATACCAGTTCTGAATTCATGGTACGCCCATGAATATAAGAGCAGTATCACAATAGGGATAAAACAATTTAAATGTCCATAAACAGATAGTTAGACAAATAGAATGTAGTCTATCTATACAATGAAATATCATTGTATGCAATATCCATAAAATGGTATGAAGTACGGATGCTACAAAATGGATGAATTTTTTCAGATACAAAGGAGTAGTGAAATGTATGATTCCATTTTAATGAAGTGTCCAATTCAGCGGAATTTATACAGATAAAAACATATCAATTGCCAAAGACTGGGCAAGGGGAATGGGGACTGACAGCAAATGGCTACAGAGTTGCCATTTAGGGTCATGGATTCAGATAGTAGTGCTACTTGTACAGTACTGTGAATATATTGGAAGTCATTGAAGTGCAAACCAAAGAGTTTTGTGTTACCTGAATTTTATGTTGACAAAAAGGGAAACATACGTATAACACAAAGACACGGTATTAATTTAATCTGCAACCAACTATCCCAGTGTATACAAATGTCCTGCCCTAGCTTAGTACTGATACAATAATGAGAAAGTGGAGACTCTGGTACTTTTGGCTCTCCAAGGCTGGTGAGGTAGGCAGAGGAGATCAGGATCAAGGGCAGCACAGGGCTGAGGGTCCTCTGCTTTAAGACAGTTCAGGAGGTGGCAGATGTCTGGACAACCAAAAGGAAAGAAGGCACAAATCAGAGAATACAGAAAAGAACATCTAAGACAAATAGGGCACAGAACTGGGTAAGCACATGACTTCCTGAAATGAAGACAGGTATTGCACAGAGCATTCCTGGGCAGTGGTAAGAATGATGAATGGTTTAGTCAGAGAGCATGCAGATACGAGATGACATGACTGAAGAGGGCTGCAATTATACTGGGAAACGCCTAGAAGGGTGAGATACTCTGCAGGCAGATTAAGTACACACACTAAGAATTGGAATGAGCCTAGGGAACATAAAGTTAATTTGTGTCTGCAAGCTGATTATAAGAAAGCACAGAAGATAAAGGCTCATTAATTAAACGAAGGTTATAGAGTTAAAAGAACACTGCTTGCTAATCTATAAGAGAACACAGGTATAAGGCACATGGGGGGCAGTGAGAAAGGAAGCCCCCTGATACCTTAGAAGGAGCAGGGTATGAGGTTTAGAGAGTTCTAGAAGACAATTTGTTGGACAGACCCGTATCTGTCAGGGCCAAACAGAGTTTTTAAGAGAAGCGGGTGATATGGGAAAATGTCACCTATCTGCACCCAAGTCTGCAATCTGAGCAGTGGGGATGTGTGTGTGCGTGCACGCATGTGTGTGTTGGGAAGTACTGCTATATCTGGTTGAGAAAAAGAAGTACATATATACTTTGGGAACGAGCTACCTGGGGAACTCATGTTCTTAGTTTCAGGATCTGAGAAAGTGTCAGCCTGAAGTATGGGGTATTGGTTAGCTATGTGAATATGGCAAAGATTCTATGGTTACCTTGGAATGTGCTTCAGCAACTGAAAGAATTATCATCCAGAAGATATGGTGAGAGAGAAAAGGAAAGGATTCGAGTACATGGGATGTGCAGAGCTTTGTTCTTAGGTCAGTCTATACAACATGGTGTCTATCTACAATGACAACATATTGCATATATCCAAACTGCTCAGAATAGATGTGAAATAGCTTCACCTTAAAAAGTGTGGTGAGGTTATGCATACATTCGTTGCCATAATTTAGCCACTCTACAGTGCATATGTACTTCAAAACATGCACACAACTAACATATACAACTTTTGCCAAGTAAAAGTATCACACATATTTGTTATTTCAAAAGTAATAACTAAGAAGAAGATAATTTCTCTACCTTTGTGTGTCGGCCTTCTCTGTACATTTTCCTTATATTTTGCAATCCCTTGGACTAGCAATAGAGGGGTAACAGGAAAGATTTAGAGAGGTAGACAATAATCCTCCAGTAATGGGAGTGAAGACAACTGCCTGATGAAGGATTCCTTTGTTCAATAGGCTGAAAAGTGACTCTCACTGAAGAATAAACCCATGCCAACTGTGAATGCAACCTAATTTGAAAAACAAAACAGGTTTTTGGAAATGTGTTGTTGTTTTTTCTTTGTTTGTTTTCTTTTTGAGCCTACTGACTTTGACTGGATTACTTCAAGTGGGCCCTGAAGGTCATTACTATATCCTTAGAAGACAGAGAAGGAAGAGACAAAGATTCACACACAGCAGGAAGAGGCCAAGTGAAGATGACATAGATTTCAGGGGTGGCTACAAGCTCAGAAGTGCTGGCTTGGCCATGAGACACTGTAAGAGGTAGACTCTCTCTTGGAACCTTTAAAAGGGCAACAACTTTAGGAGAATTCGGGCCTGTAATAGTTTACAGCTCCATTCTTCTGGCATCTTAGTAACCAACACCATAACCTAGCCTCCAAGTCAGAATCCCGGGTGGCATCCTTGACCACAAAAGTGGTCAACTCAGTAATAGCTTCATGCATGGAGTACTAGGAGTGTACCTACCACCATGCAGAGGCATTCACAGATACCTCTAATCCTCACACAAGTGTTGGCACAAGACATTGGTATCATCTCTCATCTTGTGGAACAGGTTAAATAAATGGTGGTACAAACCCCAGGAGTATCCAAGTCCAAGCCAAAAGTCTTGTTGTTCTGCCAAACTATCTCTTAGGCGGATCTGAGTTCACTCTAAGGTTTTCTGACCCCACAGATGGCCAAGTAGAGATGTCAAACATAGGGATGTGGTCTAACCTCAGGAGGGTTCAGGGATAGAGACACCACCATATACAACTCAGCATAGAGACATTGTTTAAAGTCCTGACTCAGAGTAGATGACCTTGGGAAATTGTTATAGAACAAAAAAGGGACCCAAACCAAGGTCAAGTAACTTTACCTTTTAAAGCTGGAAAAAGGAAGAGGAACTGATTGTGGAGAGCAAGAGAGCCAGACTGTATAGTGAGAAGAACATGGGGGTTGGGGTGAGTGAGTTTATGAAACCTGGAAAGCCAAGAGAATGGAGCAGTCCACCTAAGGTCATTAGTGATGACAGCAAACTTGAATGTTTCCTCAGTGACAGCCACTATAGAAGCAGGAGGTTGGTCTTTTGGCAGCTATAGTTAATTAATGATGGAATACAAATTAGGGAAAGACAAGGAGCAAGCTGACAGGAGAAACTTGACATACAAACACACAGGTTGGATGATAATGGTGACACTAGCCATTATCCTTTTCACCATTCTTATAAAAACCATGTCCTATCACAACTGTTGGACAGGTATTCAAATTGTTTGGAACGTTGTGCCCAACTTTCTGACTATATAAAGCCAGCTCAAGTGTCATCTACTCTGTAAAGTCCTACCTAAGTTTATGGCAAGACTAGTCAGTTCATCTTCACCTCCCAAGCAAACAAAGTTTATTCTTCCTATTGATAGCACATCAATCTGCCTGCCTTTGTTATTTCCTCAAGCTCATTGCTCCTATGGCATTCTCATTAGATGTGTTACCCAAGTGTCACATTATATGTATGAATGAGATGATAATGGGTTGTCAGTTTTCTAATACTTGAAATTTTACTTGAGGAGACTGTAAAGTCCCCTGACTACTGAAGGTATGTCTCCAGGTATAGGCTATTGATAAACCATCCATGGGGAAGAGAAATGACTCAAATCACAACCTGTCCCTATGTAGATAACAGGTACCAGGAGCTTGATCTTCAAGTTTTCCTGCATATGTAGGACTCAACCCCCTTAAGCTTGTAGATACCAAACAGGAGCCACATGTAGATATGTTTGTACCATATCTCATTTATGTGAGTACTACTTTATGTGACTTTTTAAAGTTTTATATATCTGTAGTTACTTATAGCTGTCTATTCTAAATATATATTTTTCTGTATAAATATAAAAATAATGTATAAAATATATGAATTGGTTAAATAATCAGTAGATTTATTAGAGGGGCTTCCAAGGAGCATGTGGTTGTTTCACTAAAATACATATTCACTTATGCAGTTTTCTTTCTGAGGCTTTGATTAATTGAGTCGCCAGACAAGACTGTGGAGAAGTAATGAATACAACAAGATTCTAGCCAATGTAAGATGCTGAACATAGCCCCCAGAGTATTAAAAAGGGAGGGACAGTCACAGACTACATCAGAATAAGGAATTCAATGGTCTGTTCCAAAACCATGAAGACTTAAAGAAAGTATGTTAAAAAAAAAAACACAAATTTTCTATGAACATGTACCTTGTTGGTATCAGCAACACTGTTTTGTCGGGCATCAAAGATGATAAGTTTATGTGACTGTGCATTAGCATCCATTATTGTCTGCAGGTATTTTTCATCTTCTTTGCAGCGTTTATCATTGGGACCCACCAATGGCTGGCTGCAACGAGTAATCGTTGCCTGACTTTCTGGGTGAATCCATGACAACACCTAATGTTTTTAAAGCAACAAACAAAAAATATCTGCTGATAGATAAAACAGTATGCGATGTAATTAATTGGTACAAAAATACAACCTCTCCTAAAGAGTTTCCTCACAGCTCTTGAGTAGATAAGCAAGTCATTATACTGTAGTGGCCAAGGCATTTAATGCGTTGGTCATACTAAAAGAAATCTTACTAGACACTCTTTAAAACAAATCCCTTTCTGCCTTTGAAATTCTATCACTTTAAGTAAAATAAAAGTTAGGTCAAACTATTACAAAATCTAGTCCCATTTCTATTTGACTGGCTAGTTTCATATTTTTTCTAATATAAAAAACCCACTGTATCTGTACAATAATATATAGCAGGGTAAGGTCTCATATTAAAAAACAAAACTATAACTCTGCCACCAGATCTTCCATTTTCCTGCAGTGGTCAAGTGATACAAGAGTATTCTGATGTAAACTCTGAGCAAAAACCATCACTTCCTTCTAAGCATGATTGTTTTAGTCCCATGCAGCTACATCAATGCATACAGCAAGAAGAAAGAATGCATTTTTTTTAGAGTAAATGGTAGAACCAATGAGGTAAACTGTAGTGCAACAGCATGTTCATTCTTGTTGAAGATGGCTATATCCAGAAGACAAAATTTACGGTACCTTTGCATTTAGAAACAGGACATATACATGAGTGAGACAGAAAATTATGTATTACTTAAGAATCAAAGATATAGCCAGATTTATAAGCTAGTTTTTCTACTTTCCACTTTGTTATTAGATACTATGCAATGTCTCTTTCTATATAAAAACCAATGTACTTACAGGGACTCTGCCTTTTGCTCGAAAGGCTGCCACTTTTGAAAGATCGTCATCTTTTACACTAGTTGGCACAACAATGACGGCAGGGTAGGTATCGCAGAACTCATAGTTACTGTTTATTTTGGATATTTTCCAACTCTCATTTGGCAAGCCCTGTAAGGTGTTAGAGAAGGAAGAAGGGGAAATACTCATCTCAACTTTGCAAACAAACTAAGTATGAATCATATTTCTTACTTTAAATGAAAATTAATTTAAAACTTGTTGATTGTTACTTAGCTAATTATGCCTCAAATAAAATTTAATGGCAGTTTGGATCCTTATTCATCAATTCTTTATGAGATATGTAATAAAAAAATCTAGAAGCAGACAGCTTGATAATAGAGCACATACTAGGCACATCCTGGCAGGGATACTGGGGTAGGAAAAAGGAAAGAAGACAGGTAAGAAGACAGATATGAAGGCAGAAAAGACATGTAGGACAGCAGCAAAGCAGGCAGGGAGGAAGAAAGAAAGGAGGAAAAGGAGGGAGGAAGGAAAAACAAGGAAGGGTGGATTCTCAAAAGTCTGAGTTTCGAACCCCTGTCTACACGTCTTACTAATCCTCCTAGAAAATGATGGCTAAACACCAAGGGAGTCAAAGATATGGCACAGGAGAAGAGGGCACCCAAGGAATTGAGGACCAACAAGCTAGAAAAGATAGACCTACACACAATTTGCTGTACTATTTCTACTCCTCTACTATATATCTAACCCAACTTTTTAGAATAGAAAAAGACATTTAAGCTATCATAATCCATTTGACAAGTAAAATACTCTACCTGTCTCTTATATTCAGATACTGGATCATAAACTTTCCAGCCATTAATGGGAAACTTCTCTTTATAGCTGAATGCAAATAGCACCTGTACATAAAACCCATAAAATACATGTCAGCATTTGTGTTAGAACTCCTATTTTAATGTGCAAATTTTGAAGTAACAAAGTAGAAGTTTTTCTTAATTATTTCACAGAGAAGATAGAACTAAATACTTGAATTTAGCTGTAACACAGAGAAGAGAGAGCGGCAACTTCTAAAGAAATGTGTAAATATGGAATTATCAGATTCCCATAGATGCATACAGGAAAGGGTTACTTTGTTGTACTTGCCTGCCCATTCGAAAGAGGAAAAGCATGCTTGTTGAGATTTTCAAATATCCCAAGTTTTCTTTGTTCTTCTTGCTTATATGCAAGTCTCAGGTTCCTCATATCCTAGTAAAGAATGAACACTTGTTAGTTGGATACCCTGTCATAAATACATAAAAGATTTTTGTTTATCCCTTATTTTGTACTTTATAGTTCTCCAACTAACATAAAACAAGTTAACAAAAAATGCTTCCAATGAAATTTGAAAAATTAAGGAAACTTGAATAAAGAGAATGTGGGGGGGGCTATCAACAGAATAAATAATTAAGAATAATGCTGAAGGTGTAGCTCTTCACAGTTAATTGTTTTTGGTAGGGGATTGTGTGGGAAGGATTCCGTTATCATTAAGGAGTTAGCTACTGGGAGTTTGACCACGCTTCAGTGAGTACATGGGCAACACAAACTGGACTTTGTGGAGTTTTGTTTTGTTTTGTTTTGTTTTGTTTTTGGTAGGGGAGGTGGACCTGAGAGGAATGGGAAGTGGGTATGATAGGAGTGCTTTATATATATATATATATATATATATATATATATAATTCCCAAATAATCAATAAAAATATTATGCTGGGAGAAAAAGGAATTCCAAACAGAATAATGTTTACACACAAAAGATGTGCTATCACACACTCTGTGCACTTATTGGCCAAAGATATGCCATTGAATTTATTGTTTAGGTTAAGATGCCAAAAGAGCTAACTCCATAATTTACATCATCCATGAAAAGGAAATGTTGCAGATTCTCCTGTTTCTTAAGATCAATTTCTTTGTCCTCTCTGATGTCCAAATGCCCAACCACAAGTTAGTAGGAACCAGTGCACCTATGTTAATAGTGTGATTTTTTTTCCCATGACAGTGTTGCCTCCCAAACTTTTAAAATCTATGTTCCTGTCAATTAAACACAAAAAGTATCATTCTTCAATGTCAAATGAAATTTGAAAATAAGTATGATAAACAAAGAAATAGTATTTGGGAAAGTAAAGTTACTGTGATACTTACAACATTAAAAGAATGGCAATAACCCAAATGCCTATCAGTAGAGGCTGTAGCTGAATAATGTACAGGGGAGCTAAAGACATGCTGAAAAGAAACTGCAGCTCTATATGCACTGGTCCAAAGAATTTTCAAGACACACAGTCACAGGGAAAGAAAGGTACAGAGCCATGTATAGACTCTCATTGACTTTTTATTTTATTTTTAGACAAGGTCTCCCTGTGCTGGCCTGGAGCTTGCTCTGTAGACCAGGTCAGCCATAAATTCACAGAGATCTGCCTGTCTCTGCTTGCTGAGTGCTGGTACTAAAGGCAGGGGCCACTAAGTAGCTCATTGTTTCTTTCAAAGAATTGTTTCCATGCACAAGGCATCTGTGCAGTGTTATATTAGGCATTGGTAACTCTGTCTGCAGTGAGTGGGAGAGTGGGAGAGAAAGATATGATGTTTTACTATATATAGCTTTTGTACTTTTGAATTATGAATCATCTTTAAAAAATAAAACCCAGGCTAGAGATATGACTCAGTAGTTAGGTGTGCTGGCTGTTTTTGCAGATGTATCCAAGTTCAATTCCTAGCATCCACATGGCAGCTCACAAATCCATTTGCAGGGGATCTGATCTGATGCCCTCTTCTGGCCTCCACAGGCACCAGGAAGATAGTCATATGGTCAAAACGTCTATACATATAAAGAAAATAGTAAAATAAGCCATGTGTGGTGGTACATACCTTTAAACCAAAACATTCAGGAAGCTGAGGCAGACAGAACTCTATGAATGTGAGGCTAGCCTCTGTCTACATAATGAGTACCATGCCTTCCAAGGATATACAGTGAAAACTGACTGTGAAAATAAACAAATAAACAAAAAACTAACAACAAAAATAAAGCAGCACACCTTGTGAGGTTCTCAGACATGAGCTGGGAGGCTGGACTTTATAATTCCAGGCTATGAAGCATTGAAATCAGCTGTCAGCAAATACTCATGCCAACCATAAAAATAACTTAGTCAAGCAGCCACAAGAAATGTGCCAAAGTAGCATCATTTCCTGACATGCCTGCTTTTCAAGTCACTCACTGTCTGTGCACACACCCTGGTAACCCACTGGCTGTTTAGAAATGCTCAATGGGAAGGAGAAGCTTTATAAGCCCTGCAAGAGCATATGCAATAAGTGTGCCATGTAGCTTAGTGGTAGAGCATATGCTTAGAATGTGAGAAGCCCTGGACTTACCCAGGAAAGGAATGAGAAGTGGAAGGATTGACATATGGTGATTTTGGTGTGTGAGGAAATAGGCATGTAACAAATGTAAGCATCAATATGAGCATCAAACCCAAGGTTAGAAGAGGTCTTGACAATTCTGCAGACAGAACACATCTCCTGGTTCATTGGGTTAGTTTTTAATAAACTTTATTATAGAGGTAAAGTCACTAGGCATAAAACCTATTCATTTGAGGTCCTTTTTTGGGCTATGATGATTAAAGTTATCCCACACTTTCCTATCTAATATCTTGAAGGAAGTAAAAAGAAACAAATGAGGATAGTTCAAAAGGTAAAGTTCCAATATAGCCAAGAATCTTTGATCACAAGATTTCTAGAACAGGTTGTCCCTTGGGTAAGTCTTTGTCCATCTACCATGTTGAAAAGTACTTTTAAAACAGGAAACTATGAAAAGGGATATTGAACTCTATTTTTCTGAGATGTGACAACCAGCACTTGGGTTACAGGTCAATTAGAAACATTTCAGCTTTCAAAAAGGATTGTTTTGAGGGGTATACAGTGGTTTGCATTCATTGATATAAGATTTGAAAGAGCTGCTGCTCTGCAAACAGTACAAGTTGTTCCTATGCTGCAAAGATTATAAGGGTTATGAGTCAGAAAAAGTTCAGAATGAACTTCATGCCAATGTTCATTTGTGTCTGCAGCCTACCTTGCACACGATCTCTATACCACAAGAATTATCCCCATGGCTCTGGGCACCAATCTTCTCAACTCTGCTAATCACTCCAAGGGGAACATCAAGGATGAAATGTGGGTCCTAGGTTTAAAAATTAGACACCTATCAAAATCAGTAAACAGAGTGTTTATGTTGAAGTCAGTAAATAGAGGTTTTATGCTTTAAGTTGCTCCAGAGTTGTAACATATGGTTGTTTACTTTGAAATGCAATTATCTTGGCGCCAGATAAGAAGCTACCATCTGAGAGATGGTAGACCTCAGGAGGTCTATACACAGACCACAGTGACACGTCCCCTCCAAATCTAAGTGCAATTTCAACAATTTTGATTAAGATCCAATGTCTCTTCAAACTCACTGTCTCATAGTGTCCCTGTGATAGGAATTCAGGGGAATGTTTACTTTCTTCTTTTACTGTTCACAAGATTTTAAAAGCCAAAAGAAATTTAAAAAACTTACCCTTTCTACATTTTTGAAGTACATTTTGAAGTCTGTCACTGTCAGGGTTCCACTCACTGCTCCCATAAATGGACAGATATACATGACATCTTTCACTGAAAAGAGAAAACCAAAGTAGCAATGACTCTTACATATTTGTACCTCTGTAACCTCCAGTATGAGCTTCCAAATACATATGTATGGTCTAGTCTTGTGGGAATTAAAACTTCAAGGAATTATATCAGTTTTTATTTTACATAATGACACAGTCTTCTGATATAGTTCAAAAAACTCTGATTTGCTATTCAATGAGGCTTTAAGTAAAAAAAAATAAATAACTTACAGTATGTTTATATTGTTTTTTTTTCTTTTCAGATAGTCAATATTTTCCCTGTTTGAAAGTTGATAATGCTCAAAATATTAATTATACTCTGAAGACACTGTGCTTTCTTCCTATAAATTGCTTCAACCTAAAACTAGTAAAAGCTAAATACTGTCTCTGAAGAGAAACTGCTTTGCAGCTGAAGAAAACTTGCACACCATCAATTAAATAGAAAAGGTTTTTTTCATGGGCCATGTGTATAACTCAGTACCTGAGCCTCTAGGTTTGTAGTTACCTCTCAGAAGGGCTTGCTAAAATCCCTTATCAGCCAAGCATGATAGTGAACACTTTAAACTTAATCTTAACTACTACTTGCAGAGGCAGGAGGATCTCTATGAGTTTAAGCCATCCTGGATCTATATAGTGAATTCCAGGGCAACCATAGCAAGACTCTATCTCAAAAACAAAATTTCTGTATCAAAGGTAATTTTCTGTTTGTTATCAATCAAATGTGCACATCATAGTTAATTCCTGTGAGTGTTAAAATGCTCAGCTCTATCATAAAGTTGTGCACCTTTATATGGTTTTCCCACAGTGCCATTCCATTGCAATGTTGGAGCAACCAGAACACATATAGCATAGCTACAGACAAAATTCATAATAGTAGAATAATTCATCCAACTATCAAGGAACTTTCCTTATTTTTTCTGTAATTAAATATGTACTGAGTCATTTCTGTTGCTGAGGTCCTGGGTATAACATAATTAGCCAGAGTTACTATTTACAAACAGCTGAGGATGTATGAGGCTTGACACAGAAAATCACCATTATACTATAGCATGTTAAATGCTAATATAATGATGTAGACACTTCATTAAGAATTAATGAATCACCTCACTCATCAGGGAAGCAGATGGGGAGAGGAGAGGAAAGGGAGGGAGGAGAGAGTGGTGAGTGATTAGAAGTTTGTTATGATGGCTGCATCAGAGGGTGCAGTAAGGGTGGAGGGTTAGATAGGTTAGCAGGGAAATGTACCAGTAAATGCATCTGTTGAATGTCAAGGTGTAATTAGTATGCAATCCTCTGGTGATATTTTGTTTGTGCTTTAACAAATAAAGCTTAACTGAAGATCAGAGTGTGTTGTTAGCCACTAGTTAGTCATAGAGGCCAGGCAGAGGTGGCACACACCTTTAATCCCAGCACTCAGGAGGCAGAGGCAGGCAGATGTCTGTGAGTTCAAGGCCGCCCTGGGCTACATGAGATTGATCCAGTCTAAAAGAGAAACAGCCAGATGGTGGTGGCTCACACCGTTAGTCCTAGCAGTAGGGAGGTGGAGACAGGAGTGATTTGTATAAAGTTTTACATGTCTGTATATAAATGTACCATGATTTTTGTGCAGTGGTGAGGAAGCCATAATCGGCACTGTATTCTCTTGGGACTAGTTACAGGGGGTTGTGAACTGCCATGTGTGTTCTGGGAATTGAAACAAGTCCTCTGTAAGAGCATCAAGTGTACTCTTAACCACCGAGCCCTCTCTCCAGCTCATATTATCAAAAATTTCTTGAGTTTGTGTTATTGTTCTTCCTCAGAGACATTTCAGTACTAACTGGTCTATTGCCTCCAAATGTTACTGAGATTTTGGTGTCCTTTAATAGTCACCAGACAATACCGGGAAAATCAGGGTCCCTTTTAGGGTTCTTAGTCTCATTAATAAAAGAATTTAAGTGCGGACTCAAATGGAAACGTGAGGACATTTTATTAGTGTTTAAAAGAAAACCCTCCAAGTGCAGGCAAGCTGTGAGCCTGAGCTGCTGCTCAGAGGGTGAAGGTGGAGGAGAGGAGGGAAAATCCATGCTGTGTAAGCCAGCGTGGAGGTCAGACATGTGGCAGAGAAGCAATCACATGATAGAAGGGAGGCTGTAGAGAAAGTAAGGAAGCCCACAGTGTTAGGAACACAATGCTTAGAAACGAGATGAAAGAAAAAGAAAAGCTCTGTCTTCTGAAAATTCAGAAAAATGGGCAGACTTACATGGCTGTAGCCTGTTTGTAGGCTTCAGATGCCTTTTCCTCCCCCCCATATTAATTTGTGTCTGTTCACATATATGTTCCCATGCCATAGCACACATGTGGAGGTCAGAGAATAATCCACAGGAGACAGTTATTTTCTACTACCATGTGGGTTCCAGGGATCCAACTCAGGTCAATATAGGCTTGGAAACCAGTGTCTTCACTTGCTGAGCCAACTTATTTGTTTTGTGATGGTCCCATGTGGCCCAGGACGGACTTAACCTTGCTATGGAGCCAAGGGTGTCTACGTTTCTTATTCTCCTGTCTTCACCCTTCAAGTGCTGGCATTAGAGGATGAACTAACACACCCAGGTTATGTGGGGCTGGGGACTGAACCCAGGGCTGTGTGCATGCCATGCCAGCATTCTAACACCTGACCTGCACCACAGCCCTCTTTTATCTTTCAAACCATGATGTAGCATCAGTATTCTTTCATGTTATCAAATATTATTTAAAATGCTTTTATTGGATGCACTGCCTTTTTACATATCTGAACTATCATTAAGCATTCATGTATTAGTAAAAGTACTTTAAACTTTTTTCTATATACAAATTCCTCAGTAAGCACTGATGCATATAAATGCTATGTTCATTTCTGGTTAAACATAAGTACTTTTAAAAGTTCTTTTCTCAAGAATTAAAAAAAAAAAAAAAAGAAACCACCTACAGCCAACACCATATTTAATGAAGAAAATCTGAACTTTTTCTCAACTTTTGGAATAAGAACATCTACTTTCATCCCTTCTCCTTAATTCTATAATAAATATTCTTGAAATATTCTTGTGAATATTCTTGAAATATTCTTGTGAAAGAAAGCAAAGGCATTGAGTCCACAGAGGAATTACCAGAATACTCATATACTGCTGGATATATACTAGTCCATCAGTTTCTTAAGTTATATGGCCCACTCTATTCCTTAGGCATGTGTTTAAAGATAACATGTATATAAAGGCTTGTATAAGAATGTTCATAACAATTTTATCTATAATACAAAAGCTGCAGAATCAAAACAAATAGCTACCAACAAAGGAATGATTCTTAACTGATGTCACAAGGTGGTTGAATATTAAAATAATTTATTGAAGGAAGTTAAGCAAAAAACCCCTACAATTTCACTTCTGGAAAGTACTAGAAAGTATAAAATAGTCTACAGTTTTGGGAGATAGAGGAATGCACAGGAGAAGAGATGAAAAGGGATGACATAAGAAAACTATGGGTGGGGGTAGATATGATCATAAATGCCCATGTCAGGAGAGTCATGAAGAAATAAGCAAATAGCCCAGTAAAGTCTACTATCCAATCCATCCAAATGAGATGAAAAAGTTCTACCCAGATGCCCCTCCTACACACCATCACTTGAGATGCATGGCAATTTATCATGGGAGGTATGGTAACCCTCATGTCATTACCTTTATAAGCCAGGGTGGCAGTATGTGCCATTTTCTTCCACTAAAATTTAGTTTCAGCACTCACAGAAGCCAACAAAAACTTATTTGCAAAGTTCTCAAAACTGTTACTAAGATAATGCTATTGAAACAGTCAATCAAAGCAGCAAGCCGGCATTACATAGGGTGTCTCATCAGCTCTTCAAGAGGACAGGCTTATATTTGTTTGGCAAATATTCAGCTGCCACTTAATTCCATCCCCTCCCTACATTATTTCATATCTTAAGGTCAAGAGGATGCCAATAAGAATGAAGAAACCTAGTTCCCTAATCCCTTTCCCCCTAATTAAATCAGTTTAGCTGATCTCCAACATAAAATATCACCTATGCTTTGAAAGTACTTCATTGTATAGATTCCTATAAGCAAACAGTATACATTAAACTTACCAATGGCCTTAATTGATTCTCCTGGAAAAAGTGGGGCTTCTTCCATCTGTGCCAGTTTATTTCCATCCCTTAGAGCCTGGCAAGAAATCAAATAGGAATAAATCTCACTTTCCATCTGTATATTGAAAAGAATGCTGGTATTCTGGGATTTCTTGATAAGGCTACAGAAGCGTGCAAAAAATGTATGCCCCTCCCCCTTAATAGTTTTTAAAAGCTCAGCACTGCAGGGCATCATGCTGCATAGTCTAGCAAATTGTTACACATATTTACAATTAACAGTTAGAAAGCATTAATACAGAAATGGCTTGACGGGACAGATAGAAACTGTAATCACTACACAGACAGCTATTGTAAGGTGCCATCAAATTTAGAAATAAGGTCAGAAAAAAATGTTATCTTCTAACACAAATAAAAAACACTAGAGGTGAGGTGCTTAGGCAAAGTAGAAATGACCCAGACTATGAAACAGTTTGGGAATCCCTAAGGTAGAATTAAAATGACTAGAGAATGGTCTCAGAACATTGCAAAACTAAGGAAAGCCCTAGGTTTTGGTGCTAAGGAAGGCCCAGATACATGCAAACATGTACATATATGTGTGTGCATTTGTAAATATGTGTGTGCATACATGTGAGTGTATGTCAGGGTGCATAAAGAATGGGAATGACATTGTTTGTTCACTCTAGGCTATGAGATTGCATTGGCAGATTAAGAATACAAGTTGAACATCTATAATGTGAATATCCCAAATAGTAAATGCTCCAAAATACGAAACCTTTTCAAAGCCAACATAATGCCATAAGTAGAAAATTCCACACCTGACCTTATGTAAAAGGTTAAAATTAAAACATACGCATACTAAACTGTATTGCATGAATTTTCCTTCAGTTTATATGTGTAAGACACAAATTTGTGTTTAGACTTGGGTCTCATTCAATACTCCAAAATATGAAAAATTCCAAAATTTAAAACACTTGTCCCAAATATTTGAGATAAAGAATTCTCAACCTGTATTGCAGTGTGTAATGTGCACGTTCACCACACATTTCTCAGGGCCAAATTCATTTTCATAACTAATTTCACACTCTTCAAGAAAACTGCTAATGATAACTAGCTTCATTGGCTACAATGAAGCTAAAAGAAGGATGCCTGGGCAGTTTGTGCCCATATTCCTACTATCAGGCTGTGACTTGGCAGCTTCATTGTATGGTGCCACATAACTCAGAGGGGAGCAGAAAATGGAGTTCTTGAACTACAAAGCTAGGACTGGAGCCTAAACTTAAGGCCTATTTCAATGTACTGCCACCCTGTGAGTTGCTACCAAGGAAACCAGTCATTTTCTCCTTGGCATGTCTGACACAATGTGTCCTGAATAAGAATAAGATGATCAAAACCCAGCAATTACCAAGCTGTGTTTCACAGAACATTAATTTCCCAAGAGATGCAAATAGGTTAAAAAAAAAAAAAAACAAAACAGGGAAATGCTGTGTTAGATAAATTAGGTGTTTGAAAAAAAATGAGCTAGACTAGGCTTTAGTGTGTTAATGCACAACAAATCAGCAAGAGGGCGCTACAGTACAACACATGCTCCTACCTCCTCAGAGAGTGCTTTTTCAGGAATACCTGTTAACACTTGGGAGGGCATTAATATGCATCTGAAAACAGGGTGGGCAATGCCGATCAACGATATGGTGTATATGTCTCTTCCACCCAGAGGACAGAAGATTACATAGTCCATCCTTTTCTTACAAAAATGCACTGATAAAATCATTTATACATTAGGGTTCATCATTACATCCAAACAATGTATTCAATTTGAATTTTTTAGTACAGATTGGTTAAGATTTTTTTTCAGCCAAAAATTTCTGTAAAATTTGTATTTTAAAGTGATAGAGATCAAACAGGATACTGTATATGCTAAGTAGGTGTTCTATCACTAAGTCCCATCCCCATCTTAACTTTCATATAAACTTGACTCTTTTTCCATTCAATGTCCAACTTAATCATGTCATTATGCTCGTTTTGATCCCTGGGTATCAAACCCAAGGCATTAAGTATGCTCTACTACTGAACTCTGCCCACAGCTCCATTTATATACTTATATTTGATTTGGAAATATGCCTTTTATGCAATAAAGCATAAACTAATATGTATACTTTTAAACATTTGGTTTTATAAATACTTAAATACCAACAATCTTAATAGAAGCCTTAATTTGAAGGCCTGCTATAATTTACTATCTGAACTACTGACTAATTTTATGGCATAACTACCAAGTAAGAAAGCTACTTTACTCAAAGTTGGAGTTGTAAATTACTTCAAACATTGCATTGTTAAAGCTTACTTTAATGGGCAAATATTATACTATAAAACTGAGATTCTATAACTTATATTTAAAAATAACTGAGATAAATTACTTTGCAATCTATTTATGAAATCAAGCTTCTCTAATTACTAGAATATGGAGGGGATTTGAAAAGAGAAGACACCTGTTCAGGTTTAGAGCAGGCCACATCAAACATTGTCAAGACCCCAAGCCTGGGCTAGTCAATGAAACCCTGCCAGAATGCACAATGCTCTCAAGATAAAGAATAAGGAACAACTGGTTATCTTCTTGTCCCATATTTGCAATCAAATATAAATGGAAACATCGGTGCATTTTTATGGGGCATAAATGTGTTGGTGAAAACAGTGAGATAAATAAAACTAACTAAAGGTGTGATGGCGCACACCTTTAATCCCAGCACTTGGGAGGCAGAGGCAGATGGAACTCTGTGAGTTCATGGTCTACCTAGGCTACAGAGCAAGTTCCAGGACAGCTAGTGCTGTTACAGACAAACCCTGTCTCAAAAAAAAAAAAAGCTTTTATTAATGATCATTAAACATGGGACATGTTTTTAAATCATGAAAAAGCACCTATTAGAATAACACAAAGAGAATAACACAAAGAAAGAGCGCCAATGCTTGCGATTCTTCCATAAGAGAAAGGAATACATTTAGCTTTAATATTGGAAGTCAAGAGACAATAGAAGGCTCGTTTTGGTGAGTACAGTAGATTCTCTTTATGAAGCTGTGTTAGGAGATGGGACTCACATTTGTGCTCTATTAAGCTTTTACTGAAACTATCAAGTTGCACAGGACATGATTTGACCCTTGATTTATCCAACCTACGTGCAGCTCAACTGAAAGATGAAATAAATTTGATCTCATAAACATACCCATTGTTCTTGGTGCCTCAATTCACAATGTTACTCAGCTGAGCATTTCCCTATGAGCTCATCTCAACCTTGGTGCTTTGATCCCGAATGTCTCCTGAGATCTACAACTTCCTGACTTTGTCACTGAGGGATCCAACCCACCCAGATGATTATGGTCTTGTCACTGTTTTTCATGAGCATGACTCTAAACTTCCAGGTGGACAGCTTATGTAACAGTTGTATGCCCAAAACAATGATTTTCTAATTGAGTCCTAAAAGATGCTTCTGGAGTCAATGAAGGAGGGTGGTTCTGGGCAGGTGATGGAGGATAAAAGCAAGGCTAAGCATTTGGGGCTTGCCAGGCATCCCTAGCATAGCTCATCTATAGGATTCTCCTATTGGGCTTCTATAACAGTAGCAGAAAAATCACTACTGCTTCATGAATCTGGAGGATATCTGGAAGTATGAAGCAAACATAGGATTCTGTATTTTGATTAATAAAAACTATATATATATATATATGTATATATGTATATATATATATATATATTCATTCCACAAATACAAAATACCAGGTGCTGTGTTAAGCATGGAATGAATATATGCACCACAAAGCCAGAAGAGGGTATTGGATCTCCTAGAAGTGGAGCTACAGGCACTTGTGAGCTGCCATGTGAGTGCTAGGAATTGGAAGAACAGCCAGTTCTTTTAGCCTCAAGGCCTACTATGCAACTTTAACTAACAAAAAGTCCACACCCGTATAAAGAACTTGTGGCATTTGTGTTTACCCCTCTAGGTCCTCACTAAAAGCACTTCACACCCTTACAGTGGTGAACGCCATGCAACCCTATTTTCAGGAAACCAAGAAGTGTGAATAAACCAATTTCTAGTTGACAAAACTGTTGGATAAACCAATTTTTGCAAATAATGTCATAATGGAATCTACCAAATATAGACAGGAGAGCACTATTATAGTTGTAAAAGCAAGTGGAAAGCTTTGCTTATTGCCTAGATATCTAGTATGAAATGGCTTCTAGATATACGAGCTGTAGCTATAAACATGAACATGTAGAACTTGCCACCTGATCAGCTTCAGCTTCAGAAGGGTAGCCATTGTGTTCTTCCTCTAGCTCCTGCACAGCACCAGGTGCATGGACAAGAAAAGGCAGAGAAGAGAAAGAGAAACACGTGCAAACAGACAGGTGAAAGGACAGAATTTCTTTTTAAAGAGACAGTAACCATGTAAAAGTCGACACACCTTTTATGGCTTTGTAAATCACCACACTTGCCCCCATCAAGTTAAGGAAATCATGTGTGGACTATCTATAGCATCCTCAGCCTAAAGTGTAGTGTCTATTTTCTGGGTTTGTGTTGGGGTAGAAAATGAAAAGCAAACAAACATCATGGATTTCAAACAATGCACTGTCATTATAAAAATAAGCAATACCATAGCAAATATCAAAGAAAATAACAAGCACATCATGTGCTCATAGAAAATAAAGCACACCACAGAACTCACATAAAGGGCAAAGTCAAGCCAAAATACAAAGGTTATTCATATATTGGTATTTTAGACAGAGTAAGTATTTGCATATTCTAAAGGAGTATTATATTACCAAGGGGTAAATTTCATTGCACTCATGCACAGAACACATGCTCAAGGTTTTACACATAATATACATATGTGTATTAGTTTATTACTTACTACTAATTAAATGCTGTGACTTATAACCAATATCGCATTAATATTTCTAACTATATTATCAAAAGCATGCTTCATAAAAACTTAAATATCACATAGTCTTCATTTTATTCTGCCTGCTTAAAAGTATGCTACTCTTAATTTTTCATAAAATCAATTCCCTTTTGAAAGTTTAAAAACTGTACTATTAACTCAACAAGTAGTAAAAAGGATGTGAGTACTTAACATGACAGAATTATAATCCCCTTTTAAAGTGGGATCAAATCTCTAATAGTAAAAATATTAAAATTTTACTGTTTTACTTCATGAAACTAGTTCAAGGCATCAGAAGAATTAGCAAACTTAGAAATAATTTACTACTTCACACATTTACAATTTGGTCAATAAATGTCATTAATTATGTAACACATTTTATACTATATGAATTTATAGCTACCCATCATGGCAGTGTAGATTTTAAATGCAACCTGTTTTGTTGAAATTTCTAAAGTTTTACAAACAAAAACAACAGACTCATTTTGTGACTTTTAAATGTTAAAATAGAAAAAACAATGTATATCAAAACAGATTCATACAGTATTTCAAAGTCCATGCAAGTACAAAGCCAAACACTAATATTTAGCTGTATGAATCAATGAAATAAAATGATTCTTAAAAGCAGAAGGAAACAAGGTAAGATGTAAACAAACTAGTATAGCAAGATTTTTAATTAACTTGGTTATTTCTGTACAACGTCACTGGCTTCAATAAGATTACAAATTTCAAACTGAAGTAATTAAATCATACTATGAAAATTCAGATTGTTTCCATTTAATGAAAATAGGTTAAATTTTTCATATCTGACACTAGGAGTTAGATGCATGCAAATTACCAATCTTTGTCTTGCTTTATGAATATTCTGAAATAGAGGGAAGACAAATCATGAGGAAAATTTAAGCTACAATTCACTATGTCTGTATTTTTAAAAATACTGATTTTGTAAATCTTGCTTCAAGATTAGCACTTAAACATTTTTGGATTGAACATGCAAACACAAGCATGGATAACAAATGAGCACTTTTATGGTTGCTAAGCTCTTTAGCATGAATCATACAACCAGCATGACACATCTGTGTGTGTGTGTGTGTGTGTGTGTGGTGTGTGTAAAAAAATAATATAAAAAAAGAGTCTATCTACCTCAAAGGAGTGCAGGATATGGAGGGGGTTAAAGGGATTGTAGCTGAGAAGGGATGGAGGAAAGAAAGTAACGTAAATCTGCTTCAATTAAAAGCATATTTTAAAAATGAGGCTCACAAAGGCCTAGATATATAGCACCAGCCATGATCATTCATTGGTGAGAGGAAAGCCAGTACAGCACACTAGTAATAATTTTTGCATCCTGTATTCACACACATAGGCTTTTACTGAACGTTTAGAAAACTGTAGCAAACAAAGCATTTCCAATGAACATTTAAAGCTATGACACAGCAGAGCAAACTTATCAGAGTGACTCATAAAAACCAGTGAGAAGGTAAAGAACACTAAACAGACCAAGTGTTCCATAAAGCACAGACATGTATAAGTAGGAGGCCCATCTGCCAAAAAGCCAAACATCCTTACCCTGGTATCAGGCCTCCTGAAAACCTGTTAGTTAAAATACAGAACATCATCATCATGGAAATGTTCTTATTGACCTGTGAATTATGCCATTAGATTCAACAGCCTAGTCCCTAAGAAATATTTTAATTCTCTATAACATATTTACCCTCAGTTTCATTCAGCATCAAATCAATCCTAACACATTTGTCCTGTGATTTTCAGAGAAGTATCTAATTTGGAGAAATGTATCTCCCCCACCTCCAACTGTCTTAAACACAAATACTTTCCAGTGAGTACTTTCACGAGTTATTGTGAACAGGCTGCCTTTCAAAAGTAAATGTTGCTTCTATTTAGAAAACTGAAAGCATTTTTCATACAGAAGCAATGATATCAAAAGAGAATTAGGTTCTTAGACAAGCCAACACAGAAAGCCCCAAACTGGATCCAGAACACAGTTTAGCTATATACGAAGTCAGTACCTAACTGTGAGATTATCACACAGTTTAACCTGATTTCTATTTAAATTCTGACTGGGACTCCAGAATTGAAATCTCTGACTGGTTACTCCACTGAAAGCAAGGGGTGCCTCTAATGGACATGGCAGCAAAGAGGAAGTTCTAGGAGGAAGTGGCTATCCTGAAGAGGAGGTGAAACAATCTTTATTTAACTGAGAGACACTGACTTCCGCAGTATTATTCCTGTGCCTGTGGCCTGTGAATCCCAATGAAACATGCAGCCTCTGTGTGAGAAAGCTTTAGTCAGAAGAAACAGCACACATGGACAGTACCTTAGAAAACCAAACAGTTGTAACATTCTGGGGCAGGAGTTCAATGTTTCTGTACTTGTTGGAAAGTCTAGCTAGCATCCAACCACCAGATGTAGAATGAGAAACACATAATCAAAAAGAACAATTGCAGGTTATTCACTTTATGGGTTTGCTAAAAAGGGAGAAGAGCCCCTGAAGAGGAACACAGGCTACAATGGCTAAAAAAAAGAGTCCAAGCAGATTACCCAGAAGACATGAGTCATTAAATGAAAATAGCAGTACAAGGCATAGACTAGTTCCCTACAGGTCATTGGTCAGGGAGGTCCCAGGTCACCGAAGTATGACAGGTTATTGTTGCTATCCTTGGTTACCCACCATAACTATGTGGTAATCCCTTCTTGCTAAAAACACCACATACTTTGGCTGCAAAACAAAAACCAATTCTCAAACTCTCCAGAAAATTTCCTCCCTAAATGCCAGAAAGTGCTCTGTAGGGTGATGTGGGGAGAAAAGATATCAAAGTTGTTACACAGTGCTGGACCCAGCATACAAAGGTATCAAGTTACTAGAAAAGATATGCTCACTGGTACAATTGTGGCATGACTGTTAGGGAGTAAGTGGGTACTTTCTGATTAGATTTGAGGCCTGCTCCACAGAAGGGAATTTCATTCTATAGTCCTAGTCAAAATCCCATGTTTGGTGAGTTTATAGGCCCTAATGTAGAACTTGTTATTCTTCCTTTCCTTGGTGGTCATGCTATAAAATTGCCTTCTAAATACTTATATTTATACCCACAGACCTATTCTCTGCTCAACCTTAGAGAAGCTTCTGTTTGCAGTAACAATAGTCAATGGAAACATGTGTAACTGATCAAAGTGCTAAGAATATTATGCTGAGTGCTTGGCCCTGAGTTGGACATCTATTTCTACTGTCCCCTTTTCTGCCACCAAAGTTAAATGAACATTTTGAGGAGGAGGAAGTCAAAGAATTTAAGAGGTAGAGAGGGTGAGAAAGAGTGCTATTAAATACTGTGTTCTGGACAAGATATGACTATCACAGTTACATGCATATGGCATATACAAGGTAAAGCCAACTAAAATCCTGACAAAGATGTGGCAAATGATCTCTAGGTCCCACGCAATATTGACAGAGCTATTAACAACAGATAATTGCTGTGGGAGGGAGAATCAGTCTTCATTCAGGATATGACCACTGTAAATATCCTATGCTCCAGGGGATGGCCCCACAATCATGTATCTATGAGCAGCTTTAGCTACACATAGTGAGTTATCAAAAAACGAAAATGCATGGTTGGGAGTACATGGGGGAGAGTTGGAGAGGGGAAACAGAAGCAGATCTGATCCTATGTCATTTTATACAATGAAATTCTCAAAAACAAAGAAAAATTAACAAGAAAGAAAATATTCTTTGCGGTTAAAAAGGTGTTCTGAATTAACTGGTAATATTCTTCAAAGTGAATTAAAGCTCCAAAGTTCCTAAGCAGAGAGTTTTGGGGTTAAGAAGCTTAAATATGGCTTTTCAGGGGATGCATTCAAGTATCAAAATTTATTAAGTTGTATACTTTAAATATGTAAAGTTTATCAATTCTTAACTGTACCTCAACAAAGTTGACAGAAAGTAAATAAAAGAAATATGTGGCTTATGGTGAAGAAAGCCTCGAAACTGGAAGGATCACCCACCCAGAGCTTCATTCTGGATTGGACAGATTTCTAATTCTAACCATTCTCTCCATCGCTATCAGCGACTGGATTGGACAGATTTCTAATTCTAACCATTCTCTCCATCGCTATCAGAGACTTGATTGAACAGATTTCTAATTCTAACCATTCTCTCCATCACTATCAGAGACTTGATTGGACAGATTTCTAATTCTAACCATTCTCTCCATCGCTATCAGAGACTTGATTGGACAGATTTCTAACTCTAACCATTCTCTCCATCGCTATCAGAGACTTGATTGGACAGATTTCTAACTCTAACCATTCTCTCCAAAAGAGACTTTGCTTTACTTCCTGACACAGCACTTTGAAGCAATGTTTATCGGCCTCTTCCTTTAGATGAGAAAATAAATTCTCAGACTACTAGCTCCCTCTTCCCACTCTCTGCTGGTCTAAAGTTCATTTTTAATTCTTCTAGTATTTTCCTTCAACAGGAGTTGTGTCATAAAAACACTTGAGTCTTTTCTATTCAAGCCACTTCTCTGAACACATGATACATATGAACTATTTTTATTTTTAGGCTAGCTGAGATAAGAACTATCCATTACCCCGTTTCTTTGATGAGAAAAGAAAGGCACAGTTAAGAAAACTAGCCGCAAAATTAAAAAGTCAGTGAAATGATTCCTAATAATATTCTGCTATAGTTGTAGACTGGAGCCTAGCATAATGGTCATTTGAGAGGCGTTATGAAGAAACTATGGAAGCAGAGGCAGAGACCCACAGCCAAACATTAGGCAGAGCTCAGGGAACCCTAGAGGGAAAGGACTATAGAAGCCAAGAGGGATCAAGGATACTATGAGAATCAACTAAGCAGGGCTCACAGAGACTGGCCTGACAGCCAGGGAGCCTGTATACATCTGATCTAGGTCCTCTACATATATGTTACAGTTGAATAGCTTGCTGTTCTTGTGTGAATCCTAACAGTGGGAGCAGGGTCTCTCTTTGACCCTTTTGCCAGCTTTGGAGACTTCCTCCTATTGGGTTGCCTTCTTCAGTCTTAATATGAGGGTTTGTTCTAGTCTTATTGTAACTTGTTATCCTGTATCTGGTTGATATCCTTTGGAGGTCTGCCCTTTCCTGAAGAAGGAGTGGATCTTGAAGCAAAGGGAGGTGGGAGAAGGGACTGGGAGGAGAGGAGGGAGGGGAAATTGAAGTCAGGATGTAATATGTGAGAGAAGAATAAATAAAAAGGAAAAGTGACTGAACTGAAGGTGGAGGAGATGCTGGTTAAACCCTGATACTTCGGTTCCACGTCTGCTTCCCTATGAACTCCACTCTTTTATGAAATCTCACCAATTACCACAGAAAGACAACTTTGATCCCTCTGTAGTACACATAGGATCTTAACTTGAAGAAGCCAACAGCATCTCTCTTATTCCTCTATCTCAACTCATCCACACCAGCATGACGTAGTATTTTCACATTTGTCCTGATGTGTAAATGTAAAGGGACAGACAGCAAGAAATGAACACCACAAGGAAGCCTTCACCATAATGCCTTTATATATATATATATATATATATATATATATATATATATATATATAATGCCTACTGCAGAGCAAAGCAGAGGCTGAGTCTAAAACAGATCGTAGAACTTCTTCCCAGTGTCTTTGCTATTAGAAGAAAATAGCTGGGCAGTTTGTAGAGTGCAATAACATATTTTTAGGCTCACACAGTTCTTAAGCTGCTATAAGGAAATCCTCAGTAACCAAGACAGGAAAATGTTAGGAGGTTTGCAGGGGCTTGCCTCAAAATCTGGAGGGTATGTTTCTCTCTGGCTCCCTTTGCTCATCTCCGGAAATGAGCCCTTTCAGATACACATAGAAATTTCCTTCCTGCTGGAATTCAATTCTGACGTAAGCCTTAAATCAAGAGGAGCCTAGGTGGTCTACCAGTGCATGACCCAGGAGATTCATTTTCATAAAACAGCATTGCATATTTTTAGTCAATGTAATTCTCTTAAGGTTCATCCCAGTTGAGGAGTATATCACTATATCTTTTTTCTTAATTGTTAACCAATATTCCAATCATTCTGACAGGTATGTGTTGGTATCTCTGCATGGCTTTCATTTGCAAATCCACCCTTACCCCTATTACAATGATGTTGATGAACTTTTCTTGAGCTTCATTCTTTGTCATCTGCATGTACTTCTTTGGTAAAAGGCTTCATGTCTTTTGTTCATTTTCACTGTTAGGTTTTCAGTATTCTTTATATAATCTAGATATTAATGGTTATCAGGTATGAGATTTCCAAATATACCTTCTCCTGCTCTGTAACTTGTCGATTTTGGGGTACTGAGACTTCTAGTCATTTTTTCTTCACCATTTTATGGAACTTCAGGTTGTTCTTGTGTTATTTTATGGACAATTTCCAGATATTCTAGTTATATTTAGTGTGAAAAAGAAAAATATATCTTTGCAGAAGCAGAAAAGCAAGTCTCAACATTTTTAAAAACTAATTCTTTTTCATAGGATGACCATCTTTTCTCATCTATTACAGGGATTTAAAACTGGACAGATATTGTTAAACAGATAGTAATGGGGCTTTGCAAAAATGTTTTTACAGGGGCATGTTATACCTTCAATTCCCCACATTTCTCTCTGATATCTGCCTCCCTTGTTAACTGTCCCATGTAGGCATGAGTGTGTAGCCTATAATTAATAAATAAGTCATGCAGCTAGGTTTTCTGCCATAGATTATGACAGTGGATCCATGATAGGGCATGCTCAAGCTTCCCTTTTCATAGAGTAGTATCCAATTCAGGAAACATAAATCAAGACCTAATTCAAACATAATAAGGTGTTCCCCATACACTTTTCCCCCTTTCCTCCAAAGTCCTACAGGAAATTCCTGTTGAGGATCCACAGACTAATTACAGAACTCTTCTTCTTTAACAATAGCTAGATTACTTCTCTAAATAGTCTAAACTAAGAAAAAGGAGAAAATCTGTGTACTGTCATCCCAAATTTCTCCTTTTTTATAGTTCAGACTATTTAAAGAGGAAATCTGGGGATTACTGTGTGCACAAGGGTAAGGGAAGTAAACAGACAGCAGGGGAACAGAGACAGGATGATGATAATGATGGAGCCAGAAGAAGCAAGATGGTCACACAGTACACTAAGTGTAGAAGGCAGACCAGATGAGAGAAAAAAGGGAGGCAACACAACCCATGGGAGAAAAGAACACAGGTAAGAGGAGGAAGAGGGAGGGAGCCAGAGTGAGCAAGGGAAGGGAAGGGAAGGGAGAAGAGGGGAAAGGGAAGGGGAGGGAGGGGAAGGGAGGGGAGGGGAAGGGAAGGGAAGGAAAGGGAAGGGAAGGGAAGGGAAGGGAAGGGAGAAGAGGGGGAAGGGAAGGGAGGGGGGGGAGGGGAGGGGAGAAGAGGGGGAAGGGAGGGGAGGGGAAAGGGAAGGGAAGGAAAGGGAGAAGAGGGGGAAGGGAGGGGAGGGGAATGAAGGGAAGGGACGGGAAGGGAAGAGAAGAGAAGGGAAGGGAGGGGAGGGGAATGAAGGGAAGGGACGGGAAGGGAAGAGAAGAGAAGGGAAGGGAGGGGAGGGGAGGGGAATGAAGGGAAGGGACGGAAAGGGAAGAGAAGGGAAGGGAAGGAACGGGAAGGGAAGGGAAGAGAAGGGAAAGGAGGGGAGGGGAAGGGACGGGAAGGAACGGGAAGGGAAGGGAAGGGAGAAGAGGGGAAAGGGAAGAAGTAAAAGGAACAGAAGAGGAAGTGGGGAGAGTAGAGGACAGGACGGGAGGGATAGTATGGGAAAGAGAGGGTACAGGAAGGAAGGAGAGAGGGGAAGCGAGGGGACTGGAACCAGGACAGGAGGAAAGGGAAAACAGGAAAAGAGGGGAGGAAAGGACTGGAAGAGAAGAGAGATGACAGAAGGGAGAACAGAAAGAGGGTATGGTAAAGGGGAGCAGAGAGAGAAGAGGCAAAGGGAGAGGGAAAGACAGGGATGAAGGAGGGGATATTTGAGAGGAAAGAAAGAAAAAGGAAGGTTAATTTAAAGAAGAGAAGGAATAAGAGGGGAGGGTGGTATGGAGGAGAGAGAAGTCAGCACCAAATCTGCATGTGTTTGAAATAAGTTATTTACACAATAGATAACTTCAAATCTTATCTACTAATGGCAGAAACTTCAATCCTCCTGAAACTGTATGGCCAAACTCCATGCTATGGCTCCTATGCCACAGGGTCTCCAAAGCCCAAAATGGTTACTTAGAGTTTTATCAGTACCATGTACAACAGTTTGTGTAGTTTATGACCATTTGATGGTTTTCTTATTTAAAAATGTATCTATTTGAAAAAGGTATAGCAAATAAATTATAAACTTAATGTCAATTTTGTAGATTTAATTATAAAACATGATATTTTATAATATTCCATCAAAGGCTTTGAATATGATCTGATGTAGGGACTTAAACTTCAATTTCTAAAATATATGAAAACCTTATTCTTTAATGAAATGATGTATTAAACCATTATAGAATGAACTAATTCTGCTACACAAAATTTGTAAATAGATTAAAATTGATAAGACTTTAGCTATTTCAATTTATTTCAATGTATAGTAAAAAGCTAGTCAACATTCAATCATGTTTGTTATTTGTTTTAGTATTTTGAGACAGTAGCCCATGTTAGCAGTAAACTCAATATGTAGCTCAGGTTGGCCTTGATCCTCCTGCCTCAGCTTCCCAAATGCTGAGATTACTGGGGTCTGCCACCATACCTCTCTGTGCAGAATCCACATGACACCATTAAGCCACAATGAAAATTTTATAGTTAACTTTTAATAAGAAATAAAATGGCTGTATGAGTTTGCAGTCCCACCAGCAGTGGAGGAGTGTTCCCTTTCTCCACATCCTCTCCAGCATGAGTTGTCATTGGTGTTTCTAATTTTAGCCATTCTGGCAGAAATAAGATGGTATCTCAGAGTTGTTTTGATTTGCATTTCCCTGATAGCTAAGAGAAGTCCTAGTCCCTGCTCCAAATGACTTGACAGATTTAGATGACCCCTCCTGGAGGGCATCACCCTACATGTGGAGTGGGGGGTCATGGGAGAGGAGGGTGGTCGGGGTACATGTGAGGGGGGAGAGAGGGAAAGAGGGAAGGAAGAAGGGAGAGGGAACTGGAATTGATATGTAAAATAAAAATTAAAAATAAATTAATATAAAAAAGAAACAAACGGGACTGAATAAGTAAATAAATGAGTAAATAAACAAAATTGTGCCACTCATTAACTATAAAAAAAGAAATAAAGAAAATCACACCAAGTATGAGGGGTCTATCAATAGGCAGTTTCCCGTAAATTGGGGGCAACAGGCTATAAGCATCTCCCAACTGTATACAGAGTAGCTTCCTGATTAGGTTTTGAAGACCAAGAGCTTCAAATGTTCCCTTGTCACCAGGCATGAAATTCAGAAACAGGGGACACTATTCAAAGAAATACTGCCAGTCATCAAGTGGCAGGTTATCTAATTTCTATTAGTCTACAACTTTGGTAAGCATAATCAATGAACTACTTGCTGCCTTGGCAAAGTGAACATGGTAGCATAAGGGCAAATCTCAACCACAGGTACTAGAATCTGTTTCTGAACTTATGCTATGATCTAATAAGGCAAGGATGTCAAAAGTCCTCAACAAGGAGCAGTTATGAAGAAGTAGGATGTTGGCTCTTAAACTATTTGTGACATTTTCTATCTTCTGAGAGCTGTTCACTGCATTCCATGTATGCTTGTAAAACAAAACAAAACAAAAAAAAAAACCAAAACAAAAAACATTCACCCATTCCTATTAGGCAAAATGAATGAGTAAATAAATAAACCAAAAACAAAACTCAAGAAAACACAAAAGAAATATCAAGTTTCATTTAGTGTATTTGTTAGCAGCTTACTGGAATCAAAATGTTAGTTTGTTGAATGAACAAAGATGGAGCAGCTGAGATTTTTGTTTGTTAATTCATTCAATAACTATTTGCTGCTTATCTATTAACCTCCACAACTGTGCTAGGAACCAGGCTGTGCCAAGAAAGCTTTCACTCTTAACCTTAGACTGTGCAGGGGATAAAACTTTTAAAATGAAAAATAGGTTTCTCACTCCACTAAGGCCTGAAAAATGAGGCTGCCTCATTTTGAAATCTATAATTGGTTTTCAATTATTATAGTATCCATGTTAATGATGAATATTCAAATGTAATACCTAAATACAAAAACATGTTTATAAAGAAATGTCCATGGAGGTGTGATTTCTACACAAGATAGTAACAAAGTAACCAAGTATGTTTCTTTTCCTTTACTTGCTGTTAGAACGGAGTATCCTTGCAACTGTTGATATGTCACAAGCATGGAATATTATGCCCACTAAACATAAGAAAACAGATTGTTTTAGTTATTCAAAACTATAGGACAATTATAAAACTATAACCACAAACAAGAATAGATAATATCACAAACAAGAGACATAGATAATAGATATATTTCTATATTTCAGACTGGACATTAGAGAAACTTTGTCCTCACCATCCCCAAAGGGTAATTTAACATCAAGTAATCAAAGGCTCATGTGAACTAAAACTACAAAGCTTTTTGGGTACTTACTAATAATGAATTAAACTCACAATGTTGCTTACCTTGTAATCTCTGGACACATTTTCTGATGTCATTGAACCTGAAATCTGACTAGAAATTGTAGCAGCTATAAGCTGTTTACACCATTCAACATGTGACCCTGTAGGACTAAAAGAAACAGTGTGATTAAAATCTTTAAATGCGGCTCCTAATGAGAAACGATGTGTCTTGGGTAGGAATAAACAAATACAGGTTTACTTTTTAAAACAGGGTCTCAAGTACATCCCAGGATGGCTTCAACTCACCATAAAGCCAAGGACAGCCTTGAACTCCCCATCCTCCAGCCTCTACCTCCCAAGTACTGTGATTATAGACATACAACATAATGTCTTAAACTATTTGGCTGCTTTTCTACTTAGTTTAAGAATTAATATAGACAGAACAGAAAATAAGATAAGGTTCTAGGTTAATTTTAAATGAATCAATTAACCTTTTCAAAAAGTTTTAAGATTGCTGGTGTTGGGGCTCGAGAGATTGCTGATTGGAAGATCAATGGCACCTCTTTAGAGGACCTAGGTTCATTCTATGTCCTCTTCTGGCCACTGTGGGCATCAGGCACAGATACATGTGCAGATAAAACATCTATACACACCAAATAAATAATTTTTAAATGATTATAGGTATCTAATTAAGTATGTTACTCTCTAACATATCACAGAATTTTATTCTATCAAAATTATATAGTAGATACAGTGTACATAGAATTTTCTATAATATACATAGAAAATTAATTCCAAAGTAAAATTTTTACCTTGAAACATATGATTTTCAAACAACATTAACCAAATTCATGTTGGCAGTTTAAAATCTAGAAAATAGTATACTTTTACTGGGGTAAAGCTGATGGTCAGTTAATATAGAACAGAGTAGAAAAGATATTTTATATAAAGTAATTATGCTACATTATATTTCTATAAATGCTTTAACTTACAAAAGCTTCTTCTAGTTATTGTGTCAGAGCTTCATAATCAGCTATGACAAAAAGGCAGAACAGACACCGGCCAAGTTGACTAGATAAGGAAATGAGCATGCTGAGGCAACCATATACCAGGAATGTGTCCATCATTCCAGCCAATAGTGACTGATATCCTGAGCTAAAGGTGGTACCACAGATGCTATAAATGTGCCTCAGTATGAAAACACAAAAGTGCAAAGAAAATAGACCCCTCTAGTTGTCTAAAAGGCAGCCTTACCCAGCCTCCTAGTGACCCATTTTACAGAAAAGAAAACTGAGGTTTGTTCGGGGTTAGATGACAGGTGATTGGTTGGCCTGTGCTCACCTGACCTATAGACTAATAGGCAAACTAGGCAGTGAGAGGTTTAAAATGTGCTCTCAGGAGCTAGGCTCCTTTCCATATCTGTCAAAACAGAAAAGGAAAGAAGGAAGGAAGGAGGGAGGGAGGGAGGAAAAAAAGGAAGGAACCAATGAAGAGGGCAAAAGATGCTTAGGAATTTTACCAGGAAGTAACTTTAATCTGAAAAAAGAAAACAAAAACATCAGCAATTACATCCACATTTACATGTTTAAAAAACAGAACATTTACTTAATTGTAGTCTCTAATTAAGGTGGCCAAGTCTTTGTGGTTGAAAATATATGTAATGTATTTGTGCTGACTATACTAGGATTTCATGATCCTGGTAGAAGTCAGACCTCTATCACAATTTCTAGAGGACAGGAGGGAAAGGGGAGAGATTATATTCTCCCTCCCTCCCTCCTCTCTCTCTCTCTCTCTCTCTCTCTCTCTCTCTCTCTCTCGTATGTGTGTATGTGTATGTGAGTGTGTGTTGAAACAGGGTCTCTCTCTGTAGTTATGCAGTACTTGCTGTACTGGAACTTGCTCTGTAGATCAGGCTGGCCTCACACTCACAGAGATCCTCCTGCCCTGGGATTAATTGGTAGTGTACCCTTTATTGCCTGCTCCTTTTCTCTTTTTGAGACAGTCTTTTTCTGTAGTGCAGGCTGGCCTAAAACACTCTTTATCTAATAGGTTGGCACTGTATACTCAACAATCCTCCTGCTGTACCACTTGAGTGCTATATTTATTGGTATTAACCACCACACCAAGCTTCCTTCCCCACCCCCCTTTTACCATTAGCACCCATCCATGACTGCAAATACATAAAATCAACCAGAGGAAATCAACTGCTGACTAGATCCTGCCCCACCTTCTTCTTATAAAGACACTTCTCTTTGCAGAGTTGCAATCCACTGCTTTCTGGGGATGAGCCGTCTCTTCCTAACCCTACTTACAGACGAGTTGCCCAGGTAGCCCCAGGATTCCTTTTGTATGTGTGCTGTATGGATCTACCAAAGGGCATCTCGACACCTATTCCTACCACTTTGAAGAACACACAGATAAAACAAATGAGATTTTTTTTAAAAGACACAAACACAAGAGATAATGAGTTCTAACAACACTCTTTCAAAGGCAGCCCTTAGCACCAACTGTGCCCTCTCCCATCTCTTCCTCTCTGGAGTGGCTTTGTGAACCAAAATGTCTCCTTTGTAGCTTTGTAGTTGGTTGTGCTGTTTTGAGAAAGGATGGGTTTATTAGTGTTGATGTGTTTTTGCCATCAACAAGAGGAAGTGGCCTGGGCGAGAGCAGTTTGAGTGGTATAATGGGCCAGCCAGCAGGAGCTCTGGGTTCAAGTCCTGTTTCTGTCACCAGCTAGCTACATCTGTGACCTTTAGGAACCCACATCCTCTCACAGGACCACAGCTTCTTCTCAAAGAGAAGTGAAATACTCTGAAGACTAACAGGCCTCAAGGTTCAAGGAACACATGTAAGTCAAGCTCACAGAGCCCAACTTCCCTTTAGGGGGAGTCATTCTGAAAAGAAAAACATTCATGGGCGCTTGTTGAGATGTCAGAACTTAGTCCTCTTTTCCCTGCTTATTATTTTGTGCAACTGCCCTCATGCTCAATTGGTTTTCCCAGTTGGGCATGGCAGATATGCCTTAAACTGTTTTCTTTGACATCTGCATCACAAGCTTGGTTTCTGCAGCCTTGACACTTGTAGGCACAAAGCACCTTTCACAGATGCTTACACACCTCACAGCATAATGCCTGCTTCTCTGTTATGTGCTAAGTACCTTGAAAATCTTTCCAGCCTTCTCCCTGAACTGCACCCATCTTCTGTGTCCTCTTCCCGCCTTATGAATTGTAGCCCCAGAAAGATATCTAAGACTTCCTGGTTTAGGTTTACAACCCAGACTAGATTTAGTATGGTTCCCGCAAATCTATATTTTCACCTGGAATGATACTAATGAAGGTTAAGAGACCATACACCAATTCTCAGCCTTCGAGCCAAAGTAAAGTCATGGTGTGGTATTTTGTGAATGGACAAGAACTCATATGCTGCTGAGTACTTTGGGATGAGTGAAGTCCTTTTGGTTCCAAGGCATGTCTTATCTGTGATTAATGGATATTGTGATTAATGGATTAAATATACTGTAATTACATTGAGCTAAAAAAGTGAGTGCTGCTTGTTGCTTCGGTGCCCGTCTTTGTACACTCCCAAAAGTTCGGCACACTGGAATGACTAAGACAGGGAGGCAACAAACAGCTCAAACTCACTAAACTACATCACAACTGTCTGTTGCCCAAGTGTAGATCTAAGTGGGGAAACCGGATGTTCCAGTCACCTCGACTGGGTGGTGACCTTTCCCAGTTGGACATGGCATGCATGCCTTGAACTGACTTATTTTCAATCTGCCTCAGAAGCAGGAGACTAGTATACCCAAGAAAACTATAACTGTGTACTTCAACGTGTAAAGAAAAAGTACCCAGTTTTACTCTTATCTCATGAGCATTATGGAAGTGGTCCATCTCAGTTTTTCAGATCTGTGTATCTTAAATACCATCTCCGGCAGATCTACTGCTTGAGGGGGGGTCTACTTCCCAGTCTCCACCCCAAGCAGCTGTAGTGGAACTGGACCTTAAAAATCACAAGATTTAGGCAAGAAGGTGATGTTAAAAACAAGAAGCCAAGCGACATTTCTCCTGAGAGAATTTTTGGCCCAGGCCACGTATAGAAAGGGGGTTCTCAAGGAGCAGTAGGCATTGGCACGGGTTTGACAGCTCTGAAGCTTCTGGAGCTGTCAGCTCTCAAGGCGGAAGTGAGCAGGTGCCCAGTCCCCAGCAGGTCCCAGGGCAGTTGTGGACGGGGAAGGCTGCAAGTAGCTGTGGAGGAGCCGCCCACCAGTGCCTCGGCCCCGGGGGAGGAGCCCGGAGCCCGGAGCCCGGAGGGGACCCCCGGCCTTGAGCTCGGCCCCGGGAGGCTGTGGCATCCAGGGCCCTCCTTACCTGTCTAGGGTCTCCATGCTGGGCTGCCGGGAGCCACCCGAAGCGCCCCCCACGACCCGAGAGGGTCTCCAGCCAGCTGCCGGCACTGGCCCCGCGCCCGCAACACCCTCGCAGCTCGCGGCCGCCGCGGCCGCCGCCGCCACCGGCCTGTCCATGACGCGTCAAGCCAGGCGCCTCCGGTGAGCCACAGTCCGGAGTGCAGCGGCGGCCGGCCAGGCTCCACGTCGCGCCCCCTGCCGCACCGCTCCGCTCCCTGGCCACCCGCGTCAGGCGGCCGCCGCCATTAGCTGTCACCTGGCGGCCCCGCGTTACCCACAAGGCCACGCGCGCGGGGGCGGGGGGGGGCGGGGTCGGTGCGGGGAGGGCGGTGCGTAGCGCCTGGGGCAACAGTGGCCCGCAACAGCTGCCCGCAACAGCTGCCCGCCCGCCCACCTGCCTGGCCCGGGAACATGAGGGTGGCCCTGCAGACCTGTCCCCCGCCCGTTCCCTCTTCCCCCCCCCCCCCCGCAACTGTGCTTGAGCAATCCGGACACTACAGCCTCTGAGGTTTGAAAACTGCAGAGCTTATGCATAATGTGCTTTGCTTTACAGACTAACCTGGTACATTGTGGACATTTGGGGTTTAAAAAAAAAAAGGTTGGACAAGTTCTACATGAGAAAACAAACATTTTTTCCTCTCAATTTTGAATCCCAGATAAGTGTTTGGGTGGGGCCACCCAGGGGTCCTTAAGAGCCCCTAGTCTTGACATATTAAAGCATAAACAATTCCATGGGGTGTTAGCAAGTTCCACTCTGTTCTTCTCTCTACCCTCCTCTCCCCCACTCAACTCCACAAATCCACCTCCCAGCCATCTGTAGGCCAACCACATGCTCGGAAGACTCCCGCCCTCAGAACTTCTGCCCTTGGTTTATGATAAGTTTAACATTTAACTTCTGTTATGCAAATCATTGCTACGAAAACAAAGCCAATATCTGATAAATCTAGGACATTCACTTCCTAGGATAGACTTATTGCCCTCTTCATTTGGCTTTGATTCTAATATCCAGAACTTATTCTCTATTGTTTCAGCTTGACTCTGCTGCTCATGGGCACAGGATTAAGAGCAGGTCCTATGCATCTATGGAGCAACAGGAAATCAAACTAAAACAAGGGGCTAAGGGTATACTCAGTAGTAGAACTAGTACTTAACATGCACGGGGCCTTTTAAAAAGTTATGTGAACACAGAGGACACAGCAAGAAGGCAGCCATCTGTAAGTTGGGAAAAGACCTCAGAAGTAACCACCCCTTGACCTTGAACTTTCTCATTTGAAGTGTAAGAAAATCAATAGCTGTTGTTTACAATCCACCCCACCCCGCCCCAATCTATAGATTTTGTAAAGGCAGTCCAAGGAAACCAAAACGCCAGCTTTTTTATTGCCCCCCATTTTTCTTTCTTATTCCTCTTCTATTCTTTCCCCTTCCCCTCTCTAAGAGTCCTACTTCTACTTTCTTGTCCCTACTTTACACTAAATTTCACATGGAGATCTTATTTCACATAATGTGATGATCTCCAACTCTACTCACTTTCCTGGAAAAAGACAAGATTTCATTATTCTTTATGACTAAACAAAATTACATATCGTTGTATAGACTATTTCTATTGTAAACTGACCTTGAGTTATTTAAATGTATTTTCAGGAGCAGTATATGAGGATTACATGGTAGTTCTATTTTCTTTCTTTCTTTCTTTCTTTCTTTTTTTTTTTTTTTTTTTTTTTTTTTTGAGGAATGAATTCATTGATTTCCATAGTTGCTGCACCAGTTTACACAGTACTATATAAAGATTGTCCACCCCCAACACACACAATCTTTGCCAGCATTTGATGTAGTTTATTTTCTTGAGGGTGGCCATTCTTACAAGAATAAGAAGGCATCTCAGAGTAGTTATAATTTGCATTTCTCTGATAAGGACAGCACACTGATACACTTGCCCCTCCTACCAAAACCTTTGCCCTCCAACATGAATGGGACAGAACCCTACTCAGCCACAGTGCTGCCTTACTTCATTCTGCCTTGGCCAAATTCTCGAGCCCTGCTGTTGTGATGGTCTCTTGCCTGTCTTAGGCTGAAGCCAAAGCAGAGGCAGGAAGTTTACACAAAGAAATGGAATAAAGTAGCTCTTTGGGTGAAAAAGAGTACAAGTTATCTAGTGCACAGATTTTTACAGTCAGAGTTGAATTGCAAGCCATATATACTAGTTTTGGTGATTGCTTTATGTTTTGTATTTCTTACTAAAATAATTCCAGTTATGTTAAGTTTTTGTTCCTGTGGCAAAATATGTATAAGAAAGTAAACTTAAAGAAGGAATGGTTTATTTTGGTTCATGGTTTCAAGTGATTCAGTCCATAGTCATTTGTGTCTGTTGTTTCTACACCTGAGGTAATGTAGGACACTTTGATTTGGAGCAAGACTGCTCATCTCATGGTGGTCAGCAAGGAAGGAGGGGTGGTGAAGGCAGAGGAAGTGGGAGGAAGAAAGGAAGGGGAGAGAGATAAGCACCAACAGACACAATTACCATTTGGAGGTATACTCACAATGGTCTACTCCCTCCAACTTCTCTCTACCTCCTAAATAGACTACTACCCCCAAATGGGGTATTTAGCTGTGAATCTGTGAGAATAGGAATGCACTGATGAGGTTAGAGTATTTATGGTACGATTGGTTCCTATGTGTCTCATCTCTGAATGAACACTGTTGCATTGAGGACTAAGCCTTCAACACATAAATTTCTGTAGAATATTTCACAACAGAACTGTCAACAATTCTCACCACAAAGAGGATAAGAGATAATTTATTGTGGTGATCATGGTTTAGAAACATAGATTTAGTTTACCCCCAAATACTATGTTTCAATGCAGAAGCAGTTTCATCAACTTTTCTAGTAGCAGAGTAAAGACAGTTACACATAAGGGCATTAAAGTACATTGGTGGAAACATTGGGTAGGTGGGTAAAAGTCAATGCTAGCCGACAGTATCCTTAGCTTTTTCCTTTGTTGAAAAACTAGTGTTCTCTTCATATATTCCAAAGAAAACTAGCACTCAGTCTGTGCATCCCAAATGATTTGCTAATGGTCACAAAAATGTTAGGTCAGGTACAGAGCAGGGCAATAGATGGATATTTAGAGGGCAAAAGATGGCTGGAGATAATTTGGCTCTCCACAATCATTGCCATCTTTTTTATTTAATTTATTATTTTACATGTTGATCCCAGTTCCCTCTCCCTCCCTCCCTCCCTTTTATCCCCTCTGCCCCCTCACATGCACCCTGACCTCCCTCCCCTCCCATCCCTCCACCTCAATTCCACATGTAGGACAATGCCATCCAGTTGGGGTCATGTAGATCTGTCAGGTCATTTGAAGTAGGGACTAGGGCTTCTCTCCTGTCTCTAGATTAAGGCGGTTATCCCTCCATGGGGGATGTGTTCACAAGGTCCTTTTGTGCACCAGGGATACATCCTGGTTCCACTGTCTGAGGTCTCTTAGACTGCTCAGTCCTTCTGGCTGAGACCCATATTCAGGGGGGCCTGAGTCAGTCCCATGCTGGGTTCCCAGCCATCAGTCTGGGGGCCTGTTAGCTCCTCCTTGTTCAGGTAAGCTGTCTCTATGTGTTTCTGCAGCCTGGTCTTGTCCTCTCCATCTGCATCTGGGTTCTAGTTTGACTCAGTATTTAGATATGGGTGTTTGCTCCTGTTTCCAACAGGTATTAGATGAGATCTCCATGGATAAGTTAGTTAGAGGAAAATACGTCCGACAATGAAGATTGAGTCAGGGTAGGAATAGAAGACAGGAGAGAGAGAGAGAGAGAGAGAGAGAGAGAGAGAGAGAGAGAGAGAGAGAGAGAGAGAGCTAGCATTGCCATCTTAATCAGTTAATCAGTATTGCAGAAGGTTCGTTTAAAGGTGCAGTGTATTTCCAGGAACTTTTCTTCACAAAAACATAACACTCAGTTACCCTACCTGCACACACACCCACTCCCCTTTTAAGTTAAAAGACCGAACCCTTTACTAAATCTAAGACATTATTGTGGCCTGTTTTCATTGTCATAAAATGGATTCTGTGCTGTTGACTACAGCCTCAAGGAAGAACAGGACCTTTTGGGTCCCTCTATTCTGGTAACTGTTAACTGCCTATGTATGCTGAGCCCCTAGCTACTAGTAACTATTAACTGCTTATGTATTCACAAGAAATGGAACTGCTCCCCTAGCCATCTTAAGGCATCAACGCATAGCCCACTGCTGCCAAATTAAAATTCTCACACATCCAGCTGCTTCTAACTTAATCTAGATAAACATATTTTACCTGATGATCAGTGGTGGCACACACCTTTAATCTCAGCGTTCTGTAGGACAGAGGCAGGTGGATCTCTGACTTCCAGGCCAGCCTGGGCTAGTTCCAGGACAGCCAGGACTATACAGAGAAACCCTGCATCAAAAATTACATACATACATACATACATACATACATACATATATATATATATATATCTTGCTTGAAATTTTCCTGTCATTTCTAGGAGACAGTATCACAGAAGATTCCCTGGTCCTCTGGCTCTTTCCACCCCTCTTTTGTCATATTCCTTGAGTTCCAGGTTCAGACGTTGTGCTGTACATGCACCTTCTGGGCCTGGACAGCAAGATGCTGTTGTGAAAACCTAGAAAAAATGTTTCCAATATCTTCTCACCATAGAGACAGCAAGAAGCATATGTTTAGCATGTGTGTTGAACCCTGTGCCTGTAGAGTCCCACTTCGCCATCACCTAGATATATGAGCCCTCTTCCTGATTACTCCTCTGCAGTGTTTTCCTATATCTCTCACGCTTACTTGAGAAAAAAGGTTTAGTTTGGCTCACAGTTCGGGGGGAGGCAGTTCATCATGCTTCAGGGACTGCATAGTAGTTGGTGAGGGAACCAGTTACAGTGAATGTATAGTTTAGAAGCAGAGGTGAATGCCACTACTCAGCCTGGGATCCTGAGGGGTGAAATGGTGCCACCCACATTAAGGGTGGGTCTTCTACTCTTAGTCAACCCTCTCTAAAAAATCACCCTTAATTGTGTGAATTTTCCTGGGGAGATGAACAAATACATATTCCCCTAAGACAGGACCAAAGATGACCAAAGAAATTCTGCTCAAGCTTACGGAATTTAATTGGGGTTACTCAGAGAAACATGGGCAGCTTATGAACAGCAGCAACTGTTAA